AGGGGGTCACATTATTCTCCAAAGCACCAGAGGGCAGGATGAAAAACAATGGTTGGAAGCTGATCAAAGAGAGAAGCAACCTGGAATTAAGGAGAAACTTCTTGACAGTGAGGACAATTAACCAGTGGAATAGCTTGCCCCCAGCAATTGTGGGTGCTCCATCACTGAAGATTTTTAAAAAGAGGCTAGCTAAATAGTCACTTGTCTGAGATGGTATAGGCTCTCCTGCTTGAGCAGGGGGCTGGACTAGAAGGCCTCCAAGGTCCCTTCCAGCTCTATTCTATTCTATTTATCCTAGTGGAATAGCCCATCATGCTTGTAAGTTGTGATGGTTGTAAAATGGGTCACCGTGTGACTGACCTGATTTTAATGACCTTTTTGCAATGGTAGTTAAGTGAACCAATTGTTTGCTATGGGCCAGTTCTGCTGAAGTAAAAATGTTGTAAAATGTGATCATGTGACCAGAGGCACTGCAAATGGCTGTAAGGGCAGGACACTTGCTAAGCGTCCAACATGTGGTCACATGATTGTGGGGATATGTGTGGCCATCAGAACTTCAGAACCAGATCATATGTACCCTTGGGAGGTCCATCATAACTTCAGGTCGCTAACCAATTGGTTGTAAGTTGAGGAGTACTTATATACTACTGTTTGTCATGTCCTGAGTATACCAATTATCCTTTCTATCCTTTGTCTTTTCTGGATACCTCTGATATTTTATGAATGGTTCCTAATATACTTAATTATCTGATAGTAGATTGTTAGATGTGATTGCAACTCCAGCAGTTCATACTCCTTCCTGAGTTTAGTTCAGATACATGGTGCAAGAGATTCTGAGTACTTTCATGGCATTACATATTTTATTGCAACTTATTGAAAAGATTGGACTTAAGATATATTTGTTTAAATTTACAATTTTACCTTATCTCCCCTGCTCCACGTGATTTTTGGTGGAGGCTCCCCAGAAACAGGGATTTCAAGACGTAATTTCGTTCCCGCGACAACTGTTACCGTGTTATCATCACCAAGGCCTTCAAGGTGAAGCTTAGGAGGATCTGCAAAACCAAGATACTGAGGAAATTTCATGATAAGAAAAACATCTCAAAATTTGAATGTGTGATAGAAGAAACCTCTTCATATATACAAAGCCAGAGTTCATATAATGCTGAAGAAGAGTTTTGGGAGTCAAGCTAAAAGTCCCTAACCTTCCTAGGAAAAACAAAGCACTCGCTCAGCTATATAGTATCAAATTTAGCAACCATCCTCTGCCCAAAGACACTTTCCCAGGGAAACTGAATTATCAACTCAGCCATAAAACATTTAGAAGGCAAGCAATGATGAAATATTACCAGAATGTTCTGGAAATGTTACCAAAAAGCAAACATAGACTCTGAGAAGTAGGAACCATTTGATTAACCCTGTAACATTAACTCCTTAAAAAGAAACTATGTACTCGAATTACTGGGGTTTTTTTTCTCTTTCAACTCCCCCCCTGCTCAGTTATCTCACCCGATCCTAAAACTGACTTCATTAGATACCATACATGATGTGCTACAGCCACATCATACTGCTATTTATAATTATGTGCACACCTTAATTTGTACATAATCCTACACCTTTTAAGACATGTTTATTTCCAGCTCTGCCAATAACTAATTTATGCTTTGACATAATTGTGTCCTAGTCTCTGGTTCAGACATACCCCTGGAAAAATTCTCCTATAATATAGAGGATAGCAGAGAAACAATTTCTACATGTACATTTTAAAACATTTAATATATTCCTTATTATTTTTACATCAGTTCTTCCTATATTTTGTCTCAAATACTTATTAGCAAACTGATGTGTTCAGATGCAATAATAAAAAAGCATTAATATTTTTAGTTCCTTAGTGTGCTATAATCATGACTCCCAGTCCATTCCATTCCACTCCACTCTACTTCACCCTGCACTCCATCCTTATTTCCACTCTCCACACTCCATTCCATTCCACTCCACCCTCCATTCCACTCTCATTTCCACCCTCTATTCTATTCCATTCTGTTCCATTTCATTCTGTTCCATTCTGTTTTTCCTGTTGCAGCTCTGTGGGGACTACTCATTGGTAGTTTATGTTCAAAAGATCCTATCTAAGTGCCTGGCATCCCTAAGTAGAAATAAATGAATCAGTAAAATATGGTTCAATTTAGTCAGCACTAAATGGACAGTTGTCCTAATTTCTTTATGACTCATTCTCACTATACCTAATTAAGTAGGTATAAGTTAGTAAATTTTCTTTGTACTTTGGTATTAATAGACTTTCTCATAATACCACTGAAATATTTGGCAACTTCTAGTTGTTATTGTTATAATTTATTTCTTGGATTGATATTTAATATTTCAGAGTAAATGTCTAGTGCATGGTTCGATCTGGATTCTTCTTCCTGCTCAGACAGGCTGGCAATTTTGAAATTATACCAGAAATGGGAAAAATGGAGGATTCTCCAAATCCCATTAGAGCAATTTATTCCTACTCATAGACAAATAGCTGCACATATACTATGGAACATGAATAATTTGAAGTAGCTCTGCATTATGTGTGTGGGCAAGATATCGTGCAGGAGATAGCTGACCTCTTAACAAATTTTTTAAAAAGACAAGTCCAACCAATGACTGAAACTAAAAAGCATAATAAATTGCCACCTGGGCTGGAGTTGAAAGGAAATTAAAAGAAGCAACCAGGGGTATTTCCCTGGAGCAGTGATGGCGAACCTTTTAGAGACCGCGTGCCCAAACTGCAACCCAAAACCCACTTATGCATCGTCAGGTGCCGGGTGGGTGTGGCCCATTGGGTGGGTGTGGCCCATTGGGTGGGTGTGGCTGCGGTGGTAACAGAACAGTGGGTGGGACTAAAAAGTTCAATCAATCAATTCCAACTTTGCAAGATCTTTTTTTTCCGCAAGAAGATGAAATTGACTGATTGATTGAACTTTTTTTTTTTCACACAGCGACGAAGGCTTAAAGTGAAAAGGTTTTATAAAACCCAGATGAAGGCCTAGGATTGGGGCGACGGCGCGCATGCCCACAAAAAGCACTCTGAGTGCCGCCTCTGGCGCCCGTGCCATAGGTTCGCCACCACTGCCCTAGGGCGAAAAACCTGGAAAATTACATTTACTGCATATGTTCAGCTTTTTTCCCCCCTTCCAAAACTGCCAGAAATAAAAAGAAAAAAGAAAAGTACTTTATCAGGAGAATTGTGTTGCCTTGTCACTCTGCAAAGACAATTGCATAGCCTCCATGATACGATGCACTTTGTGAGGCAAGGTATAGCCTTGAGTGATATGAAGTGAAGCAATGTAACACTTTCACTTCCTTCGCTTTAGAAGGAAGAGAGTATTGCATCATAACAGTGCTTTGAAGAAGTCCTTGCACAAACTTTCATCAAGGTGAAGTTTCTTCTTAATTGATATAGTATATTATCTATATGGGACATGACATTATTAATACTGTGACTTGTACTTATTAGTAACCACATCAATATTTATTTAATTTGATAGCAGTTATGGAAGTCTACAATCCAGACCTTTAATGCTTTCCTCCTGATTCATTCCAGCTCAGATCAACATCTACTAGACCATTTCCTACAATATTTAAAACACTATTTTACTGTAGAAATGGCCAACACAATCACTGCAAATTATGTAGAATTCTAGAATTCCATAAGGCTGAAATGCAGGAAGCAGACTGGAAACTCTGGCTACTGCCTGGGAACTTTGAAGTTGCAATCCTAACACAGCAAGATAGTTCCAAGCTCAGTTGGCTTTACTAGGTCACTCCAGAACATCCAATGATCAGTCCATTTTAGGAACATCACATCACTTCTGTGCACTTGTCTTATAACCGGTATATAAATACATGACAGAGCCCAAAAAAGAGAGAAACGTAGGAGTTACCTATAACATGAACTTTGCAAGGGATGTTGACATTGTAGGCATCTGGAACAAACATGTATTCACCATCATCCTCCACAAGTGAGCTATCAATAATTAACCGATGGATTCTATAAAAAAAATCAAGATAGGAAACCAAAATAAATATCCTTATTCCTACATGGCCAGATAACTACAGGGGGCAGAGGGCCCCCACCCTGGAGAAACTGGGTGATGATGAATGTAAAAGGACAGTTAAACTGGAAAGATCCTCCGCATGATCCTCTCTGAGCTTGATTGTTAATCTAGAAAAAAATAATAGAGGAGACTGCATTCACACAATTGTCTTTCCTCTATTACACTTTCTCACAAGCCTGTTATTAATTTGTGTAGAACCTATAATAAATTTTATTGTTGTGAAAAGGTAAGGCAACTGAAAAATTCAGCTTTTCAAAAGCTTTTTGATCTATGGCAAATTCAGCATATCAAGCATCTCTATTGTGTGCAAATTGCAATATTAGGTAAACCCCAAATGAAAAAAATGAGCTTGAAACTTTCAACTTTCAACAATTTAGTGACTGTTCAAAGGTACAATGGCACTGAATGGTGTGACTTATGAACATTTTTCACAGTTACACCTTTGCAGCATCCCCAGACAATTACATTTATGATGGTTGCAGTGTCCCAGGGTCATGTAATCTCCTTTTGCAACCTTCTAACAAGCAGAGTCAATGTGGAAGCCCGGTTAGTAACTGGGTTACTAACTTATCAACTGCAGTGATTCACTTAACAACTGTGGCAAGAAATTTGTGAAATGGGCCAAACCCCACTTAACAAATGTCTCACTTAACAACAGAAATTTTGGGTTCAATTGTAATTGTAAGTTGAGGATTAAGTTGAGCACCTGAAGGCAGGACAAGAAGCAACGGGTGGAAACTAATCAAGGAGAGAAGCAACCTAGAACTAAGGAGAAACTTCCTGACAGTGAGAACAATTAATCAGTGGAACAGCCTGCCTTCAGAAGCAGTAAATGCTCCAACACTGGAAGTTTTTAAGAAGAGACTGGACAGCCACTTGTCCGAAATGTTGTAGGGTTTCCTGCCCGAGCAGGGGGTTGGACTAGATGACCTCCAAAGTCCCTTCCAACTTTACTACTACTACTACTACTATTATTATTATTATTACCTGTATACATTTTTTAAAAAAATAAGGAGGTATTGCAAAAATCTGCATAGAAACTTTATTTGAAAATTGAATCTTGAGTTCAAGAAGGAGCTATATAATAACATTTTGCAGAAAAAGAATGGTGGTGAAGGGTTTAATAATGTAGTCCTAGATATGTTTAATTAGAAATAAAGCTCAGTCAGTTTAATAATACATATTGCCATGTAAATTGATCCTTGTATCTATTTATCATTATTACTGCAGCTTTCATAAAATAAATGCATGGGAGCTAATGGTGGGGGAAGAAATTCATTTTGTTCATATTTATTTATTTATTTATTTATTTATTTATTTATGAGACTTATATACCACTTTAAGTGCAAGCACTCTCTAAGCGGTGTACACCAGTAAGCAACGTATATATAAACAATCTGGGTCCTCATTTTACCTACCCCGGAAGGATGGAAGGCTGAGTCAACTTGAACCGGTGAGATTTGAACCGCTGACCTGCTGAACATAGTCAGCTAAAGTGGCCTGCAGTACTGCACTCTAACTGCTGCGCCACCTCGGCTCTTTTAATATTTTAATTGAACGTTGGACCAATATGTGAATTAACTTACTTACCGTTTTCCAGATTTTGAGATTAGCTCAACCATAATTTAAAACTATTTTAATCACCATATCTTCATTAAAAACAATCCCAAGGTGAGCAAATACGGTACAAAAGTATATATATTCATAAAACAACATACAAAGGTGCTAATATTGACAATTATTTGGAAAACATGGTTGCAGTAAGCAAAATTGCAAAGAAAATTGCACATATCTGGAGATATGTACATTAAAATACAATTTTTAGAATTAATATTATTAAAGAAGAGTTCTCAAGCATAATGAACTAAACTTGAGATATTTACAGGAACAAATATCTGAACTTCATATATTTACATACAGAGCTGCAAAATTCTCTGTTTTGGCAACAGAGTTTTCTAATGCTCCCTGGAATCTTCTGAGAATGAGCAGGTTGGCACATACCAGGTGAAAACCGGTCATTCAAGAACATTCTGTTACTGGAGCACAGACTTTTGCACACGAGATTTTTGCCAACTTTATCTGAAGCATAAATGGAATGATTTGGAAGAATAATCGTTAGGACATGCCATACCCCAAAATGATTTTTTTTTTCTGAAATTCTAGTTCAATTTCCCAAATATCTTTGGGAAAATCCACTGTTTTTACTATCATTACTTCTCCTGGTCTAAGTTACAAGCTTACCTTCCTTTGTGATATAATTTGATGCGATCACTGGGTTGGAGCAGCTGCCCGTTTTTGTACCACTTTCCTTCTACATACTCAGAAATCTCACACTTCAAAGAGATCTCTTTGCCGAGCCAGACAGTCTGATCTTCCAGTGGACGCAATATCTTCAGTGGCCTCACTAAAGAAATGAGGAATGAAAGACTGCTAGTTTTATTATGGGATATTTGTTCAGTGACACCAGACTAGATCACACACTTACATATCTAGACTATAGCTAGGAACATAGGATGGGCCTGGTGTGTGTGGCCACCTCATTCTGAAGTGTCAAAATTGTCAATTGACAAAAGTGTCGATTGTAAATGTGCACAAAAAGGACTGCATATGCAATGGACACTTGCATAGATTTGGAAATCCTAATATTTATTCCTATATCTAATTTTGAAATCGCCCATCTTTCTCACAGAAGGACTTTGGGCAGTGTAGAAATAAGATCTTAGAACCTAAAAATGGCATATAAACTTTAAAAACAAGTAAGCATGATTAAAAGTTAATTAAAAGCCAGAGGGAGGATGCTAACCAGCCTCATGGCTACATTCCCCAGGCAAGGCCGCAGAATTGTTTTTCACCCTTTCCAAAAGGCCAGGAGGTTTGGGGCCTGTCTCACCTAGGGGAGGGAGAATGAGGACGGAGCAATGGCAGAGAAAGCTCTCTTCCTGGACCTTACCAGTTAGAATTCTTTAGCTAATATGCATCTACAGCTTACCAACTTTTTAATAGGCTGATATGAGATGAGGATATATTATTCTGTAAATATAAAAAATCCCTTTGATGTAAACATGACCCAGAATATAATATTTATTTGATGTAATAGGTTATCTGCTCTGTTGGCTTATACTTGTGGGTGGGGTTATTTTAAGCAATTCTAAGTATTATTTGAATCATTCTTAGCTGTCTTGAACAGCTAATCCATAAGACGAAATATACATTTTATTTATGTATTCAAACATCTATAGACTCAAGGTGATTTATAATCAGACGAAATAACAAACAATTATATTTATTTGGTCTAATGTTTAAGGCACTGGACTAGAAAGTGGGAGACCATAAGTTCAAATCCCACTTTAACCATGAAAGCCAGTTGTATGATTCTCTCTCAGCTCAACCCATCTCACAGTGTTATTGTTGTAGGTAAACTAGGAGGAGGAAGGTGTGTTGGATATGGTCACTGCCTTGAGTTATTTGTAAAAATAATAAAGGTGGGATATAATAAATAAAATAAACATAAACATAAGACAGTCTATTTGATAACACCTTGTCATTAAGCTTCTTAAAGCCAAAAGATTGGGGGCTTCCTTATCTCAAGAGGCATGGGATTCCAAAAAACTTTTTTTAGGGGGGCAGCCATTGAGAAGATAAAATATTAGGTCCCCAATTCCCTTAATGCACCCTCCCTCAGAAACATGGGATAGGCCATACGTGGACAGGAAAGATTTTCCTTAGGTATATAGGCACCAAGCATAGAGGAATTTAAAAGTAATAATCAATATGTTAAATTGAACTCAGAACCAATGTTGCCTGCAGTAGAAATGTTAGATTATTTAATCTGCTATTGATATGTCAACAGACAGACCATCATATTTTGGATCAACTAAAGGTACCAACTCATCTTCAAACCAGTCAAAGTCTATCTATGAGGTGACAAGGACATGCTAATATAAATATTTTTTTTAAAAAAAAGGATTCCTACTTATAAACTAGAAATAAAATCTTCACTCACAACCAACGGTCAGTTTGGCAGCTGATTGTCCTCCAGTTGTCATGACTGAGTAAGTTGCATTGTCAGCTTTTGTTGCTTCTTCAATAATCAAAGTGTGCTTTTTACCCTCGACTTTAACTTTATATCTTGATTTACCATCAAGGGGCAATTCCACACCATTCTTAAACCTGATGAACAATAACAACATCTCCAAATGATATAAATTAACTTGAAAATACCCTTACTTAAAAAAAGGCATCAGAATCTTTATTTGATTGAAAAAAGCCATCTTTTAAATGAAATAAAATAAAACAAAAAAGAAAAGCTTGGTATATGAGACAAACAAAAGAGGGATAGAGGGAAATCTTGATCAGGTAGGATCAGGATAGATCAGGAAAGTTCTATAAAGTTGCAGAATTTAGCTTATTTTTTTTTTTTTTAGGCCAAACACACCAGCATCTGTAACTGTGATCAAAGAAAGGCAAGCAGGTATATGCATATACAAAGTTGCATGGCTTTGACCTATGTAGCACCATGTTACTTTTGTTTTATCCCCTCTGCAGATGCCAGAGAAGAAGCGTGAATTTTATCTTTGGTTTTCACTTTCAGAAAAATCATAGTACTATATAGCTGGAAGGCTTATTTTGGCCATAAGATCCAATCTCCTATCTAGTGCAACAGTTTTACCATTAAAGATATTTCTACACCATTATTAAATTTCACCATAATCAAGTTTTATTCAGGAACTGTGAAACAAATTGGCAATCAGGAGGGATCTCATACATCCAGAAGAGCCCTGGTAGTTCAGTGGTTAGAATGTAGTATTTCAGACAAACTCTGCCCACAGCTTGGAGTTTGATCCTGACAGGGCTCAAGATTGACTCATTCTTCCGAGGTTGGAAGGTAAAATGAGGACCCAGATTGTTGGAGGCAATATGCAAATAATGCTTACATTGTAAACCATTTAGAGTGTGCTATAAAGTGCTAGAATGTAAGCCTAAATGCTATTGTTGTTGCTATCCATGTATTTGTAATCCAGCTGCATAGATTACTAATAATATATATGTAAATTGAAGCCTTAATTTGTTTTGAACCAGGGAAGCTCTGTCTTCTTCATTCCTGGCAAATACTCTATATCAGGCGTATCAATAGTATCTTGCTGGGAGCACAAGTTCCTCCTTCTTGGAAAAGAGCGTTTATATCATTGATTCCGAAGGAGGATCAAGATCTTACAGAGCCTAAGAATTACAGGCCGATATCATTATTAAATGTAGATTACAAGATTTTTACAAAAATTTTGGCAAATAGATTAATGCAGGTTATGAAGGATTTGATTCACAGTGATCAATTAGGAATCATAACAGGGCGATACATGAAATATAATGTTAGACAAATTATTAACTTAATTAAGTATCTGGATAAGAACAATCAGATTCCTGTGGCTTTTATATTTTTGGATGCTGAAAAAGCCTTTGATCAATTAGATTGGCAATTCTTATTCTCACTGGTAGAGAAAATGAATTTTGGGGATAATTTTTTACATGCACTTAAAGCTATATATCAGCAACAATCTGCTCAAATTGTTGTTAATGGGGGATTGACTGAGACTTTTAATATTGAAAAAGGGACAAGACAAGGATGCCCATTATCTCCTTTGTTATTTGTTTTGACATTGGAGATTTTGTTGATCCAGATTCAAGAATCAATGGTAATCAAGGGCATAAAGATAAGAAAAAATGAGTATAAATTACGGGCTTTTGCGGATGATTTGGTTTTGATTTTGGAACAACCGATTAGAGCGGTTGATTGTCTATTAGAACTTATAATACAGTATGGAAAAGTTTCTGGTTTTAAAGTCAATAACCATAAGACTAAGATATTATCTAAGAATATGTTAGCCAATGACAAGGAAAGTTTGGTTAAAGCCACAGGTTTTCAGATGGTGAAAAAGGTTAAATATCTGGGAGTATATTTAACTGCCTCAAATGGAAAATTGTATAAAAATAATTATGAATTACTATGGGCAAAAGTGCAAAAGGATTTAAATGACTGGAAAAAACTGCAATTGTCATTGTTGGGGAGAATTTCAGCTGTAAAAATGAATGTTCTACCAAAGTTTCTTTTCTTGTTTCAGATGATACCTATTTTAAAAAAAGATGTAAATTTGGAGGAATGGCAGAAGGGTATCAATAAATTCATTTGGGCTGGGAAAAAAACAAGAGTTAAGTTTAAGATTTTGCAAGATGCCCGAGAAAGAGGAGGACTTAAAGCATCTAACTTGAAATTATATTATGATGCAGCCGCCTTAACTTGGATAAATGATTGGCTTAATTTAACAAATAAGGATATTCTTGTTCTTGAAGAGTGGGACTTAATGTATGGTTGGCATGCATATTTAATTTTTAATAAGAAAGTGGACCGGGCTTTCAAATCACATATTTGAGGAGTGCCTTACTTCGAGTTTGGAAAAAGTATTATTATAGGTTAAATTATAAAATACCTATCTGGGGGATTCCTAGACATGCAATTGAGGGGATTTCTAAGGGGATGAATTTTGATAAAATTTCGTATAAAGAATTATTAACTTGGTCAGGTTCGGATTGGCATCTAAAATCTCTAGATGTATTAAGGCAAGAAAATATTCTACAGTCATGGTTTCAATATTTACAAATAGTGGACAGGTGGACTGTAGATAAAAAAGAAGGAATAACACTAGAAGATGGAAATCTGGTTATTCAGATTAAAGATCAGAGTCAGGCCCATATAAAAAGAATTTACAATGCTTTAATAGAATTAGACTCTGAAACAGAATTGGTTAAAGACTGTATGATTAAATGGGCTCAGAATATCCAGGATCCGATCCCATTGGACTTATGGGAGACAATTTGGATTAGAAATGTTAGATTTACACAAGCTCAAAATTTGAGGGAAAATTTTTATAAAATGTTTTACAGATGGCATTTAGATCCTAAAAAATTATCTTGTATGTATCCAAATTTACAACCCAAATGTTGGAGATGTGGTAATATGGATGCGACATATTTTCATGTTTGGTGGAATTGTAAAAAGGTAAAGGCTTTTTGGATTATGATTTGGTGGAACATTCAAAAGATTTTTAAAAGGAAGATAAAGTTCACCCCTCAATTATTCTTATTGGGTATCTTTGTGGATTTAAATGACAAAGAAACTACTTTAATGTTGAATTTATTAACTGCAGCAAGGTTATTAGTAGGCTCATATTGGAAGAAGGACTCGTTGCCTACTTTAGAAGAATAGATATTTAAAGTTTCTAACTTTGCAGAAATGGCAAAAATTTCTGCTTATTTGAAGGATCATACACAAGAAAGATATATTATTGTATGGAGAAGATGGATAGATTATATTCAGAAAAAATATGGGACTATAAAGTTTCATTTATTTTATGAGTAAATTTTATAGTAACTGTTGTAGAGATTTGTTTATATGACTTAATTTAAGGGGAGTTAAAGATTAAGTATGATGTTTTTTTTCTCTCTTTTATTTTCTTTTTTTTTATTATTGTTAACTTTCTTAATAATAACCCTGTATTCTGCTCTGGGAAGCGAGTGGGGGGGGTTGAGGGTGGGTGGGTGGGTGGGTGAGTGGGTGGGTGGGTAATGATAATATAAACATGGTAAACGCTTGGGCATTTCCCCTATGCTGCGTTCATGTGTGTGAGAGGGATGAGAGGGGAGGAAGGAGTAGGGTGGAAGTAGGATGGTTAGAGGAGAAGGGGAGGGGAAGAGAGTAGGAGGGGAGGAGAGAAAGAGGAGGGAAGTGGGGAAGGATTAGAGAGGGTGGACACAGCCTGGGGGGAATGGGCAGGCGGTACCAATGGTTAGGAATTTAATTGTATTTTGTATCAATAAATGGAAAATAAAAACCTTTTAAAAAAAAAACTGCCGGCCCATGGGCCGGACATGTCACGACAAAACCGTGCCCACCCCATTGCTGGGGAAAAAGCTCTGATACGTCACCCGACATCATATGACGTCACGAGTTTGACATGTCTGCTCTTGTGAAAGATTATCAAGGCCTTGCATTGTTTGTCATCTTTAGTGATTTCCATTTAGCAAGCATTAAAAAGCCTTTTTATTTTTCAGTAAATGTGTTTGGTTCATAAGGATCCAATTCAGCTAAAGAGTCATAATCAAATTCAGGTAAAAGAAATGGGAGTGAAATTAGGTGTGACTGTCTTAATTGGTTACCACTAGCCTTAGTGAAATTCAGGTTTAAACTATTTATGAAAGAATGAGGTAATTGGCCTACCATTTCACATTTGCATCATCTTCAGACACTTCAACTGATAATTCTATTCTGTCACCAATATAACCATTGGTATCTTCCAGGCCTTTTGTCACTATTATTGGAGGCTCTGAAGGAAGAAAAAAAAATCATGAACAAAGGATCACAAAGACTCATTTTTTTAAAAAACAAATAAACAAACAAAAAACAAGCCATCTCTGATATTAGGTGATTTCTCATGCTATAGCTTTCTTTGAATCAGAGAGACCAAGTTCCTACATACCATCTGGAAAAACGAAGTTCTCAGAGATTTCAGAGGCTGGTCAAGCATTAAATTTTAGGGTTATATATACACTTAGTTCCATTTTGCATTGGATTCCAAGATCCCCCCACCCATTCAACCAACAATAATGGAGGAACTCTGCAGAGATTTATTGGATCCTTCATTTTTAGATCTTATTGAAAGGTTCCCATTTGTCCACAAAATGAGGGTGATTGTCTGTTAAATGGGGATAAATCTGAGTTTAAATTGTCTGTGTTTAATCTGAAATCTATTGCGTAGGCATTTATTAAATTGAGATTTGACTCTATTAAAGAAATGGACAGAAGTTTTGAAATAACAATAGTGATTCATTACTGTACCTCTAACAAACAATTCAGTAGAGCATTTCTCATCTCCAGCTGTGACATGATAACGGGCATCATCTGTCAGCGAGCAGTTATTGATAAATAAGATTCGCTCATTACCTTTGTGTTCAAATATGCACCTATGAGAAAATGGCAGATTAACAAAGTTGGAATTATTAGAAGATGTAATTATTCTTCAACCTTCAGATCCTAAGTGGGTACTTCACTGTAAAGTGATTGATGCAACAGGAGGTATTCAAAACACTTATCTAATTAGGTCACTGTGTCTGACATGCAGGTTTCTTTTTTAAACTGTAGATAGATAGGCTATGTGCAATTATAGTAGCAATTTGGAGGTAGGTATATTTAGCCTTTCCTTCTTGCTGTAGTCTTGACAACAATGAAGGATTTTCCCCCAAACAAAAATGATTCTCTTGTTCTCTCTTCTCCAGCGAATATTTTTTGTACTAAATTCCTCCACTTCCACATGTCTGGTGCTTTTGTAGGATTTGGGTCCAAGATTGATGCAAAGATAGATTTAACATTTGTCCCTAAAACTTTCTATGGTGTGGGGAAACATGCAGTGCAAATGCAAACTTCAAGAGTTCTGAACACAACAGTCACTGAAACCTTAGCTCAGGGAAGATGGAAATAAACGTAACAGGAGCCTAGTTCCATTCCTGCACTCTTGACATATTTTCAAAAGTACAATAATAGCTGGGGCAAAGGAGCCAACATTTCTGGTAGGCCATTTGGCTCCTGGGGTACGTAATGGGATATGGCGCCTTTCACCTTAAGATCATTGGTTCACATTTGTTTCAGGTCAATAATGACCAAAGCTCATTGCCATCTTGCAGCTGCTCAATAGTTTGGAGTTGGTGTATTCAGGTTAGTTAGTTCTTAAGAGAAGTCCTGGCTTTGGAAAAGAAAGCATTGAAAGAGATACGGACTGTATTTTGTAAGTCAAAACTCTTTCACACTTGGGGTCAGAAAGTTAAAGGACATGGTGGAAGACTATACCTTATGCCACCTTTAATCTAATATTAAACACTGAACTAAAGGGTTCTCATCATTCAGTTTCTCAGAGGTCCTATTAACTAGCTCATCTTGCTTCCTTGCTTCCTTTCTCCTTCTATATTTCATTGCTAATTGACTGTGATGGAGAGAGTTTCCACAAGAACAAGGATCTACTGCAGTGATCTTCACTGAATTTTTAAAGGCAGAGCTAATCTTATTGGCTCAGCAGAATTCAACCCAGCCCAATACTTATGTTGAAAACAATCAACATACCACAGAATATGCTGCAAATGTTACAATTCTCTAGAAGCATTTATCAAGGAGAGGGAAGAATACAACATGTAGATTTAGTCTCAAGATAGAGGCAGCCATGATTTAACAGGTTATTGACATGTTTTGCTACTAATCATTTCTCATTTCTGATGATATGATGAGGGTAATTATTCTCCTATTGGCCATCTGTGATTGCTGCAGGCATACCCTCTCTGTCTGGGCACCCTTGACAGAACCATTCTTTGGCAGAAGAAGAATCTGGTTCTTTCTAATCAGACTCTCTCCTTCCTCAAAGAGCAATTGATCCTCACTTCTGCCACCCCTGGCAGACTGAGCTGGTGATCCTCGGGCATTGAGGGCTGGCAAAGAAGCATTGGGGGTGGTAAGCCATTTTTAGTTCTAAGTTCATAGAGTTCTTAATTTAGTTTTTTAATGAGTTCTCTGATCCCATGAAGCAATCCAAAGGACTATAGAACTGACAATTAAGGACTTGCTTTTCTGCATTTAAGTTTTTCCCTTTTGTTATCACCCTTCCAACTCCTAGGAACAGAGATGGGTGGGTGGCAAGAGAAGATAGAGAAATAGAAATCTTGGGAAATTGTTCTTTAGCTGTTGGTTCTCTAATCAACTGGCAGCTAAAGAGCTGCTTCTTCCCATCTTCTCCTACCAGCCTGAGAATGGGATGAGAAAGGGGGCATTTTTAACACATGTCTAATGGTCTTCTGGAAGATCACCAGACATATGTTCAAAACAAATAAACAAACAATAGCCCAGTTTTAAATATTGGATGTGAGAAGAAGTACTGCAGGATGAAGATTGGAGGCTCTTTAGCTTCAACCAATGCTGCTCTACCTTACTTTCAAATATCAGATAATTAATTTAAATGTATCCAGAGAAGACCACTGGATATAGGTCAATATTCTTCAAACTGATCTGGCTGATGGATGGCTTCTCCCTGGTCTAGTGGTGGCAAAAGCTATAAAGTGGCTGCAAGTGTTTACTATATTAATTACATTCAACTATTACTTCACTGGTGTACTAAAAGAAGAGGCGGGATAGATTTTATGGGAGTCTTTGCTTCTTTTGAACTGTATTTTCCTGTTTATTTTTCATTCTATAGCAACAAGGAATAGGTTGCATAGGATTCTCAAATCATTTGTTCAGCCACCAAAGCCCTAGCCGCCAAAGATTGTTGACATTAGCTTGCAAACTGTACATTAAATGATGTAGTTTTCTATAGATTTTCAAGATAAATGCTTAATACAACCATACTCAAATAAATACCCTTCTAATCGCTGCCTGTCCAAACAAACATACAAAAAAGAAATTCCTTACAAAAGTGTCAGTTCTACTTTGCTGCCATGGATCATCTCATTATTGCTCATGTTACCCAGATTGGGGTAATCTATAATGCTGAGAAAGCAAGTGAAGTGTAGGGAGTCAGAGAGGTCTAGTGGAGGGGGACCCAAGCTTAGGAGTAAGGAGACCCTTAAGAATGGAAGTCAGCTGAGTGATTTTGAACCAGTCACTCTCTCCAATTCTTAGTCTGGAAAGTTGAGAAAACATCCCAGAAACTAACGATGGCAAACCGCTTCTATGATATTGCAAAAAAAAAAAAAAAAAAAAACCACTTGATGGACCTATCCAGAAAGTTATCAGGAGTCAAAACTGATTCTAAAACAAAACAAACAGATAAATAAAACCAGGGCTTTTTTTGTCATAGAACACTCCGAACAGAGTTCCGGTACCTTTTTTGGATGGAACCTTGTAAGGTAGGCAAGGCAGATTGTATAACGTGTGAGTTCCGGCACCTTTTTTTTTTTTTTTTTTTTACAAAAAAAGCACTGAATAAAACTCAAAACTGCACAGTAAATGAATAAAGTCATGGTCCTTTGCCACCAAGATTGCTTGTCCCTGAGCCCATATAGTCACAAATCTCTTCTCACTAATGCCCAATAAGCTACCATGGTTGTATCACCAATAGAATATGAATAAGAAAGATTCTTTATATTTAAGTCAATGCACATACTTACTTTCCACTTGGTCGTATTTCTTGGCCATTTTTATACCACTTTAGTTCAATTGTTGGATCAGCCAGCTCCACCGCAAACCTTACTCTACCTCCTTTGTCCACTTGATAAGCAGGATCCAGAATCTTAGAAAAGGCTGTTGTTAAAAAAAAATGATGACAACTGGCAGTTAAAAAAAAGAGAGCCTTTGGAAAGTAAAAGTTGATATTTAACTTCACAAAATCTAAATGAGTATTCTAGCTGATTTTTTAATTATATTTTATTATAGTAGAGTTTCCAGATCTGAACTGCAGATCTCAAGATGAATTATTACATGGTAGCAAAGTGAAGCAAAGTGAAGCAAACAACCTCACCAATATCTTCTTCTAATCTGTATTTTTGCAGCCAGTACATGCAAGAGCCCTACACTAGGTAAAAATTAACTTCATTATGAATTAACATTTCCTCCCAAAAACTCAGTTTGGACAGGGAGAGGGAAAGGGAAAGAAGGAGCCCTATTTCCCCAGGTTATTGTAAGTGTGTATTTTGGAATTTCAATGCATAATTTCTACATAATTAGCTCCATTTCAAACATATAGACCTGGCTTGTACTTCCCTTTTATTCTCACATATTCAGAGAAATATGCAAAGGAGAAACTGTTGAGTTGTCATTGACAATGGAGCTGGATACTTAAACTGGTAGTGTACATGAAGACCAAAAGAAATTGAGCTGCCTAATTAAATCCAATTCCGTTCTGAAAGCTCTAAAGGAAGATTTTTTTGGGCAGCGGGGGGGCGGGAGGGAGGGATTCCTGGGGGAAGAAAGAGACAACTTTCCCAAGCAATTAATACCTGCACTCTTCTTTTCTTCCCTGCGAGTGCGCTTCAGACGTTTCAGCATACCCCTCAGGTCAGTAATTCCATACTGAAATGCAATCTTCTCATAGTCATTGGGATTTGCATTCTTCAGGAGTTCCCACACATCTATTTCTGGCTCTTCCGGTTCCTGTTTAAATTCCCTAATCAGGAACAAAGATTTAAAAAAAACAAAAGAAAGAAGAAAAGGGATGCGGCCCAGATTAATGAGACCTCGTACATTATGAACGTGGCAACTGGAAATGAAATCCAACGAAGACTATGTCTGAAATGCTTTAGCTAAGCTTAGTTAGGTTTAGGAATGGGTTTGAGCTAAAATGTCTGGTTATGTTGTTAAACATCTTAATAGCAGAAAGGAAGGGAATAACAGGATACACACTTACCCCATGTCTTCAGTGGGCAGCATATTACAGATCTTGAATTAGCCCTTTGAAATGGAAACCTATGCATTTTCACAAGAATGAAACTAGGAGTCTGCATTGTGCATTGTCTCAAAACTGTGAGATATACTAGAAATAGGAAATGTCAAAGTGTCTGGGATTAACAACAAATGGATTAGTTGGGTCAGGAATTAAGTATGGAAATCATCCATTAATATTTTAGTCTGAAACTTAATGAGATGTCATTTACTGACCCACAAAAAGGACATAAGTTAATGATGTCCTTCATTCTAAGAACATCACTATCATGATTAGATTGCTTTCCCCTGCCATTTTAAGATTTTTGCAAGGATGGACTGGTGAAATCAACATGAAAGTCAGACACGTTCAGAAGAATTCTGTCTACTAGCCATAGTTTTTGAGTATCATCAGAAGTGTAATACTGAAGTTCAATGTTTCTATATTTGAAGATTACTTTTACCATGGGCCTTTACTAAAATTAACCTAGAATAAAAAGAAAGTGGCCAGTCAAATCTGCTTTGAAATTAGCCCTTTGAAATTAGTTTTCTACAACCTGATTTTTCCAGATGTTTTTCTAGATGTTCCAGAATTTCCAGTCGTCATGGAGATCAAAGTCTAACACATCTGAATAACACCAGATTAACAAAAGATGGATTTTAGACTCTTCTTAATTTTTAGTGTGGTGTGATCCTGATATAATTGAAATGACTTTAAAAAACTGTTCTCAGCTATAATACTTGCACAAAGAAAAATTAACATTCATAACATGAAAACTTATTCATACATCTTATGCTGATCTTACACATTAAAAAAGGGGGATATATTGAGAACAGAAATGAATTACATTGTGTTGGAATAAACATTTCTCCAAATAAAAGTTACTGGAAAAGATTCTTTTTTTAATTACTTCAAGAGATCATTTTGTATTTAAAAGATGGTAACAATGACTGTAACTGATATTATCATAGCACACTGCAGAAAAACCTTATATTCTTTAGTATAACAAACAGTGAATTAACATCTGTTGCAATTCTACACAACCACCTTGTCAATATATTGGAAAACTGGAAGCAGCTAGGAAATATTCAGATAATTAAATTATGGTATTAACATTTATAGTGGCTTTACTGCTTATTTGTTTATTACATTTAGAATTTGCTGAGCTTGGCTACTTGATGGAAGACTGCAGTACCTTTCCAAAGATCATATCAAAATATAAGCATGTTGTAGAATTTGCATACATTCAAGAGGCTTTTTTTTCATTCCAATATTCTGGCTGTGCTTTCTAGCTACCAGAGAGCCAGCCACCTCCATCAACAGGAATCAAAATGGGGACGTGCCCCTTTATTTTTGTAAATAATAAGATGCATCATGATTTTCAATCCATGATAAGGAAGTGTTTTCCATTTAATTAAAGATGCTTCTTTCATCAAGATTTGTTCTTTACTTCAACAAAGAACACCTTGGGGAGATCACAATTTATTTCATAGATGAAAAGACTGGTTGGGTATATAATAGGATGAATCTTTCATTTGTTTTAGACAATTCTCTAGCAAGTGATGTAATCCTTTTCTCTCTTCCTAGAAAATACTTTGTTAAGCATAGTCTGATTTTTTTTTCTAAAAAACAAAAGTCATTAAAATATGTTTACAATTATTAAAAAAACAATCTCAAATCAGTAAAACCCTGTCATTAACTATTACATTCATAACAATAAATTTTTAAACCTACTTAGCTTCTAATATCTATTTTTTTCTCCAGGGAGTGATACACACACACACACACACACACACACACACACACACACACATACTTTGATACATACCCATCTGCCTTTGAAATTTAGTTGATTACATCACCATTGATAGTTTAATCTAGAATGTGGCCACTATCTGATGCAAGGCAAAGGCTCAGATTTCACAAATACAATTATGCATTTGTCCAATGATCAGGTTGTTGATTGTTGACCTAGACTATAATGTAATCTGACGTCATGCCAGGTGCAAAAGATCAGGACCACATGTTAAGGTCCAGTTAAGCTGATTTGTAGCTACTGATGCCTATGCACAGGAATATTCTCAACTAATGGTTAGCAACTGCTAGGAATTAGATATGGAACCACAGCAAGGAGGTTGGACTTGCTTGTGGCTTGTAGGTATTCCACTCCAGCACCAGATTGTGCGACCCCTTCCCTTACATCAATCCATTAATAGGTAGCCCTCAACCTATGTTTAGCATAAGTTCGAAGTTATAATGGCACTGAAAAAAGTGACTTATGACCAAGTTTTGCATTTACAGCTATTGATCAAAATTTAGGCTAACAGCAGCACTGGACTCATGTGATCACTTTCTCAGCTAATTTCCGACAGGCAAAGTCAACAGGGGAACCTAGATTCAATTAACAACCCTGTGATTGGTTAACAATTGCAGTGATTTGCTTAATAACCATGGCAAAAAAGGTTGTAAAATCAGATGCAATTCACTTAACAACTATCTTGCTTAACAATGGCAACTCTGGCCCCAATTTTGGTTACAAGTTGAGGAGTACCTTTAACTTGGCACCTGTTCTTTTGAAATCAGCAGCAATGAATGGTTTTAAATTGACACTGATATTCCACCACTAGCAGCTTAAAATATGCAGAATGTATTGAGTGAACATTCAGAATTTTCAAACCTCTAAAAAATGGATACTTTAAAAACCCAGTAAAATAAGTTTAGAAAATTATGAGTAAATTTGGCATAAGCACTGTCATAAAAGCACTGAAGTTACAAATTGAAAAGAAGGTTGCAAGTAGGATATTGATTGATAAAAAAAATCATGCCATGTTTAATAAAACAATTTTAGGAGGTGAGAATAACTGCATCATTTGCTAGAGATTTGTTTAAAGGAAATAATTAGGATAATTGAGCAAAATTCAGTTACATTTAGACAGGAAGTAGATGCCTATTTCCATGTCCTTCTTGATTGTCAGTATCCTACCCTTGGTGACTGAACTTTCATTTTTAATACTTAAGTGAAGTCCTCAGATTCACTTCAAAGCACGACAACTCTATCAACATAACAATATATTTCTATACATCTATTCTATGCAAATACAGAGACATTTATATTCATATGCAACAAATTAATACAGGCAAAACCATCATTTCTCACTATCACAAATTCTAATAAAAGTGTTTTCCATGCATTAAGTTGCATCTTAATAGGAAACCTCAAAAGTGAAGCCAAGCATATGAAATATACATATGGGAAGAGAAAGGAGAAATGAAGACCTGGCAGGAATAAATGAAAAAAAGGTTGGTTTGACTTTTAAAATATTATTGTTTAATATTTAAACAATATTTAAATATTTAAGCAGCACCTGCATTTTCTGTGCCGCATGAGAAAAGCACATCTTTCTTCCCCTGTCCTGACCACTTTCTACAGGGGGACAATCGAGAGCATCCTGTCATACAGCGTCACAGTCTGGTTTGGAGGCATCACTGCTTCAGACAGGAAAGCGGTGCAGAGAGTGGTGAGAATGGCCGAAAAGATCATTGGCAGTGTCCGTAAGATTGTCTGGGACCCTACACATCCTCTTCACGACCTGTTTTCCTTGTTACCTTCTGGGAGGAGGCTTCATGGTATCCGAAGCAGAACATCCAGATTCAGCCAGAGTTTCATTCCATACAGCATTAACCTTGCAAACTCTCAAGCTTCCTCCTTCCATTATATATTCAAGATGGACAATATTTAATATTTATTTGCTACGTATATGTAGGGATGTGGGTCTATACATATGTTGTTCATAGTATGTTTAGGTGTGTGTCATGTATGTGTTTCACTTTGAGAGCGGGCAACTAAATTTCATTTTTGATGTGTGCCATTGTGCCCACAGTATAAAAATGACAATAAAGATTATCTTATTGGAGATTGGTATCTGCTGTGATTTGGAATCATACACTACCTATTCCTCATGTTTTTATTTAATTTTATTTAATAGGCAGTGTTAGAATCAGTTTAGGTATACATATATTCGTTGACTTGCAACAGTTTTTTAGTGACCGTTCGAAGTTACAATAGCAGTGAAAAAAGTATGACTGCTTTTCACACTTAACGATTGTTGCAGCATCCTCACGGTCATATTATTAAAATTCAGACGCTTGGCAACTGGCTCATATTTATAATGGTTGTGGTGTCCTGGGGTCATATAATCACATTTTGTGACCTTCTGACAGCAATGGGAAAGCCAAACTCACTTAACAACTGTGTTATTAAATTAACAACTTCAGTAATTCACTTGATAACTGTAGCAAAGAAGATCATAAAATGGAGGAAAACTCACTTAAAAAATTGTCTCATTTAACCACAGAAATTTTGGGCTCAATTGTGGTCATAATTCAAAGACTACCTGTAGCGGTTAAGGCACTAAGATAGAAACCGGAAGGCTATGAATTCTAATTTTGCTTTAGTGCAAAGCCAACTGGGTGACCTTGGGCCTGTCACTTTGTCTCAGCCCTAGGAAGGAGGCAATGGCAAGCCACTTCTAAAATCTTGCCAAGAAAACTGCAGGGACTTATCCAGCCAGTCAACATAAACTTAAAGCACAAAATAAAATAATTCAATTTATCCACCACCTTTTGCCAAGTGATTCCCAATGGCTCACAATACAATAAGAACCTTGGTGGTGCAGTGGTTAGAATGCAAGCTAACTCTGCTCACTGCTAGGAGTTTGATTCCTTTGATACTGACCAGCTGAATATTGACTCAACTTCCATCCTTCTGAGGTCAGTAAAATAAGGACCCAGATTCTTGGGGGCAATATGCTGACTCTGTAAACCTTTTAGAGAGGGCTGTAAAGCAGCGATCTCCAACCTTTCCAGCTTGGTGGCCCGGCCCAGTGGGGAGGAGGGGCATGTGAGTGGCAGGCACACATACGTGCACAGCTGCATTTATATGATCGGTGCATGCACGCTCCCTCCACTCATGAGAATGGAACTTCACGTCTGAGCAGAGGGTGCTTGCGCTTGCACATGAAGCTCCATTGCACGAGCAGCAGGCACTTGCATTCGCGCACAAAGCTCCACTTGTGTGAATGGACACTTGAGCGGAGGGCACTTGTGCTCGCACACAAAGCTCTACTCACATGAGCAGAGGGCTCTTGTGTGCAAAGTTCTCACTTGCCTGTTTCTCCTGTGGCCCAGTTTCCAACAGGCCATGGTCCGGTAGTGGGCTGCAACCTAGGGGTTGGGGACCCCTACTGTTAAGCACTATGAAGCAGTATAAAAGTCTAAGTGGCATTTCTATTGCTAATCCCATTAGAAAGAAAACAAAAGAAATGAAGGATCCTCGGTGCTCTCTGAGCTTGGTTGTTTTCTTGCAGACGTTTTATTACCCAAATTAGGCAACATCCTCCATCGTTGTAAGGAGTGGGGTTTGCTCTCAGTTTACATTCTGATGGCTTGCCCTGTCAGTGTTGGTGGGGGTGGTCTTAGAAGTTCTTTGGTTGGGCTATTTGCTGTTGGCTTGTTTGGCAATTCCTTGATTGGGGTATTGTTTACTTGATTTTTGGTCTGATATAATGCTATAAATATTCTCCTTTATTAATAAAAGAAATGTTGTGGGAAACTATACGCACCTCTTTCACCACGCAGATGGGCAAACTTGAAATGGGATCTCATTCTTGAACCTTAACTACTATTGTTCTTGTAGTTTTATTGAGCAGAATAGGATATTGAAAACCAAAACAATATAGAACTGGACACTTGTTTATATTGTTAATCATACTTCAGGATTTAAAGTACAGCTGACAGCTTCTTGGATTATTTTAATTTTTAAAAAATGTTTCCATGTGTCTTGTTTTATAATACCTTCTCAAATTCCAGAGAGATGTCACATAATGAAAACATGTACAGTTAGACTGCAGTAAAGCATTTTGTAACATTCTAGCAGAAAGCAGGATAAGAAAAGTTTTCATCTGTGGTCTGTATGTTTGGAAAATGAATTCTCAAGATCAGTATAATTAAAAAAAAATTCCATACCAGGATCATTTGTTTGAATTTCTCATCCCCATGTAGGGAAAAAAAAGCATGCAAGACAAAACACAGAAAAACCTCATCCAATGTTATACTTTAACTTATCTGAGATACTTCAATGTTATTTTTAAAGCATAATATGGTATCAACTATAAGAAAGAGCATTATAATCTAGGATTTAACTCATTTCTTGTCATTGTGCTGACAAATGACTTAAATTTAAGCAAGTGTTGTTCTTTTGAGAACTCAGCTTTTGTAAATTAAAGAAGCTATAACATTTTCTGAACGTATTAACTCTACACCTGACATTTTCTATGCACGAACTTAACCATTTTGAATAAACATTTGCTCACTTCATTGCTTGGTTCTCACCTACGTTTCAGGAGACCACTAAAGTCAAGTTCTCCTGCATCCTCTTGTCCTTCACCACTGTTATTAATAAACAAACAAACAAACAAAAACAAACAAACAAAAAAGTCTTCATTTAATATGCAGAAAGTCAAACAACACATATTGCATATATCCTAGCTGCCCTACCAATGCAATATATATGCAGACACACAAGGAAAAACTATTATGTCAACACAAACTTGTATTCTTTTTCACAGGATTTACAATTTCTGTAACAAGCATTTGTGAAACATGAACACAAAGATTTGCATTGCTCCAGGTTATACCTGCTCAGGCAAATTCTTGTAAATAGAATCATAAATTTGCCCCAATTTGTGTTATGTGTTTGTGTAACACAAATGTGTTTTTAAGGTGAGTTAGCACATGGGGCTTTGTTTTAACAGCTTCCAGTGTGTGTACCTAAAAGTACATAAATAAATAAAATAAAGGGCTTGTGCTGAACTCAGCTTTAAGTGTAAATCAAATATTTGCATTGTTATTTGTGCTGTGCAAAACAATGCAAACCTGTATGAAATAAGTTAAATATCTTTTAGACTAGTTAGCAAGGAGAATCTGAGAATCTGAGATCCTACCCCACATGCACAATGTGTTGCATGATTTTAAAGATGGGAAGTCATAAAGATAGTTAAAAATAGACAAATGCATGTTTAGAACATATTGAGCATTAACTCTATCACTGAAATATTTATTAAATAAGGTTTAATGTATTTTGCTTCTCTAAGGATTGCCTTGGCACTGAATTCAACACCTTGAAATCACTCTTGCCTGCTTATACAATGACTGAGAAAATACGTAAACCAGGGTATAATAAAAAAAAGGGTGGGGAGAGCTGGGGTTTTTTTTTGTCTGTGTGTGAATGGGGAATTATCTCTTTCTATTGCATGGCTACAGGAGGAAAGGCCTTATACTCTCCTCTCTTAAATATATTTATTCAACCTATACATTGAAGATATATTAAGGAATCTGGATTGGAAAACGTTGAGTGTGGTTTTAAAACTGGAGGAAGAAACATCAATGATCTTCATTTTGCTAATGACACTAATTGAATAGCAGGAAATGCAAAGGATTGGTAAGCTCTAGCAATAAAAATTTCAGTGAAAACATAGTAATTAAATTTAAAGAAGACCAAACTAATGACAACAGGTACAACAGCCATACTTAGAATTGACAGTGAAGATACTGAAGCTTCTGCTTTTAGGACCAAAACATCAACCATAAAAGAATAAGCAGTCAAGAAATAAATACAGGCTAATACTTGGCAGAAGACCATGGAAAGGGTATTCAGACGCCAGGATATGTCTATGTCTACAAAGATCAGAATAATGCAGGCAGTGGTACTCCCAGTGACCTTCTATGGAAGTGAAGTTGGACTTTGAAGAAACAGCATAGAAAAAGTGGTGACATTTTTGAGATCTGGTGTTGAAGAAAACTCCTGAGAATACTATGGACAATCCAAAAACAAGCAAATAGATCAACCCAAAGTTCTCACTTGAGGCACAAATGATCAGGCTATTCTACTTTACATGAAGACTTAGCTCTCTGGAGAAGGGTCTAATGCTAGGAAAGTGAAAGGAAAAGGAAGAGGAAGACCAATGGTAAAGTGGTTGGGTTCAATAACAGCAGCAATGGGGATATCATTGGAAGAAATGTAATCAATCAATCACGCAGCTAAAACTTCTATTCCTTTGCACTAATGTACTTGCCACCTGCATTTATTCTAATATTTCTGTTTATTTCTCTTCCACTTCATCAATTCCAACATCAAAACTCAAAATCACCAGAAATAATACTAGATGGAAATCAAATGAAATTGAATAAATGTGTCTTTTTAAAAAATTGACATCACAATTTGTACTTTCCTGAAACAGAATTTAATATTTCTGCTTATTAAAAAAAAATTAGGAAAAGTTACTATGGTGTTGAGGATGCCATTAACCACTTTTGCTAGGTATAAAAGCTCTTTCTAAACTTTATAAAAGCATTCTTTTGCAATTGCATTTCCCTGTTAAAAATGAATGCCAATCAGTCCTTTGAGATTGTCTAGATCAGAAAACAGATTCTACAAGAGAATTAGAACTATGCTTTCTTGAGATAGGCTATATTCAAAAAATATATACAAGTCTGATTACATTTTCCCTTCCCTCCTTCTTACATCACAAAGGAGTCAGGGAGGAACCAAGCTGAGTCTTTTCTGGATACATAACTTTCTCCTTTCTAGGATTCAAGGCCTGCATCTAAACTTTTTGTTTTTGTAATAGTTTCAGAATATTTTCCCCACAGTCATCTTTTTGGATCCTTACAATCTTTGTCTTAGAATCTGAATATTGGCAGGAAAAAGAAATAGAGAAGCTTCAAGTTCATGCAGAATTAAATGCTTGAATATGAATCCTTCTGACTGAGTGAAGGAGGAAGGAGTGGGATAAAATCTAATTGTAGTCAACAAAGGATTCAGCTGCTCAAATGTATTTAATAACAAGAAACTGTATAGAAAATGTAATCAGGAATTTTAAGGAAAAAATATTTTATTCAAATATTTATAGTATTTAGCTCTCCCTCCCCATCTTTAGTTACAACTTGTATTTAATTGCAATTTAATGTGATTTTATACATAAAAATATGTCTTCTTTGTGGCAACAGCTCTTTAAAAAGTTACTAAGTCTTGTTGAAAGAAAAATTAGGTCCAGTTCCAAGCCAAGAATTAAAAAAAAAAGATGGCTGACTACTTAGGAAACAAGATTCTTTTTTATTGATGAGCAGAACCAGCAACAGCATGCAGACTTGAGGCTTCTGCTTGAAGCTATTAAGAAAGACTGGGGCTTTTTTCTGCTTTTGTTAAGTTTTTTTCTCCATTTCTTCTTTGGGGAAATATTAAGAATAAACAATATTTTATTCTGGGGAGGGGGGCCTTCCAACAGTCTGAATAATTCTGAGACATGTGGTGCCTTATATGTGGTTCATCTAAATGGTCTTAAACAATAAAAGGCCATTTCACAAGTCAGAATCTTAACTGTTTTTTACTTTACATTTAATCAAGCTCTTTGTAGGGTGAAATCTCATAATCTGTTTTAACTGGTAACAGCTGCTCAGAATCCCAAGCAAAGTCACTTCTCTCAACTGCTTCTTAAGTGAAGGTGTTAGGAAATGTAAGCTCCACAACCAATTTATACTCTCTGTCACCAGTTCCTTTTTATTTAATATCTCAAAGTGATCAGTCCATGCTGGTAAGGCTGATCAAAGGAACCCATGTCACTGAAAATTAGTTGGCAGAAAGTTCTCCTTGCCTTCTTGGCTTAGTAGCAATCTGAGTGAATATCTGGCCTCACTGGAGGCCACTGAATTAAGTGAAATACATCAAAGGAAAGGAGATTATAGGACCTTTCTATATCAGGAATATTCCCATAAATTTCTCAGAAATTCACTCTAAATCTATAAGAATCATGAAACTCACAATCAGATAATTGCAGAAGGCACTAGCAACATTTTAAAGCTCTGCTACATTACCATACATGCTGTTTGATCTGATCTTGTAGATCATGTTTTTCAATTGCTTCGTGAAGAATTGGAAGTTGCTTAGGATAGGCAAGCCTTGGAGCCGTTCCCATTTCTCAGACAAAAAGCAAACTTCCAGATAAACACACATGCCCATAACTACAAACTTCTTCCTCATCTTCCTTCCTCACAGCATTCCTGCTGCCAAATTGCAGCAGAGAATTTGTGCAAAGTAGCTGGAAGTTGTAATGATGGGGACTTTAATTCTTCTTTCCAATTTTCCTGCTCCATATGGTGACTCTTTGCTAGCATTAGCAATGGAGAAGGAATGATCATTACCTAGAGCTAAGGTGACCAGTTTTGGAACAGAAAAGTCAAGTAAAGAGTTTTGTAGAGGACAATGAGGTTTGCCAGTCATTTTAGTTTTGTTTCAATCTACTTCCTGTAAAGGGTGTTCAAAGATAATGTAATTTGTGCAATGTTTTCAATACCTGTTACTGAAGAAGTTTCCAAGATCACTTAAAATTACCTTCTTTTGAATGCAGACCGGATATCTATTGATGGCGTAGATTCTACTTCTAAAAAATAAGATAAAAATAAAATGTTTAATTTTTGAAGTTTTTTCAAAGGTTAAACCTGGGCAGAGAGTGATTTTGTGGTAGACGGCATTTATTTGATTTAAAATATGATATGTTCAACACTATGTATTGATTTTGGCAGCTCAAGTAATCATGTATACATAGGTGAATAGAATCCTATTGGCAAGTGACAAAAGGATCCAACTCTCGGCAGAATTATAAACTTCTTTGCAGAGTAATTCATTATTCAGAACAGTTTACCTGAAATTATATTAATAGTAATCAAAAGTAATAAAAGAGATTTTTCATAAAATGAAAGCAATTTTGCAAGCCTGAATCTGCAATATAATCAAATATAATAATCAAGGAAATTATGTATGGAAGGGTGGGGGAAGATAGAGCAAGTCAGAAAAAGAGGATAAATGAGTATCAGTGTGGCCCATTGATTAAAGTGCAAGGCTAAGAGTAGAGAGACACAGATGCTAGTCTTCGGTAAGCATAGAAGCCATCCAGGTGATTTGGGGTCAGTTATTCTCTCTCTGCCTTAAAATGGGAAGTTAAAAACAAAACAAAACCACAAGCCTGCACTGCAGTTGTGTGATAGAAGCCCTTTTAAAACTGCCCTGGAAGACAGGAGAATCCCCTGGAGCACTAAAAAGTGCCCAGAGAATTATGCGAGAAATGGATATTTCCCACTCTACTCCAACAAAAATGGATTCTGCATATCATGGATTCCATATCCATCATAATAATTTTATTTAATTACTTAAATCTATTATAGCAAAAATAACAGTAGACTAAAAATAGAGGATAAGATTATATAATCAGAAAATCTAAAATAAATCACAAGTGTTTCTATAAACTGGGTATTACTTAAATTCTTCATACTCATTGAAGAAATGACTTTAAAAGTGAGTAAAATATCTGACTAAATTGGTAAACACAGAGTTCAGTTTCACCTTGTGTTGATTAACCACATAATTAGACAAACCAATTTACCCTGCAGAAAGCTTACATCTGCCAAGAGGTTGGCTATTTGCCAATCTGCTTCTGAATTGAGCCAGAGGTTGTAGTTTGTCTGGTTAGCTGGCTATCAGCTGCTAGACATTCCATTAATGTGCCCTGATGCCTTGGCAGATTAATGAAGATGCTGACCTTGGTAATCTTGTAGACGTGTGTTGGTAAAGTGAATATCTAATGGGTTTGCTGCCAAATTACTGGAAGTCTGGGATATTTGGAAGGCTTGCCTAGATGTTCTTGATAGCTGAAACCATATGGTCAGCAATCAGGGTCCAGGACTTGTGGGATTCTGAGGGTCTAAATTCTCTGATCTGGATGGACTCAATTTAATCCATAAATGAATTATATGCTGCAAATTTCCATAAGACATTTTTTTTTGTCCCTTCAAGTTAGTGTTGACTCCTGGCAACTGCCTGGAAAAGTCCCTGCAGTTTTCTTGACAAGATTTCAGAAGAGGTTTTCCATTGGCCCAAAATCACCCAGTTGGCTCCCTGTCCAAAGTATCCCAGTTTCTCACCCGATGCCTTAACCACTACACCAACCTGGTTCTCTTATAAAACCACTAAGATAGATTTAAACATGCTAGACAAGAATTAAGCTCTGATCTTCCATCTATGCATAATCTTAAGACTGGGAGTTGAGACTTAAAAATATACCCTAAGAAGGTTTTCATCATTGTTTGTAAACTTCATCAAACTGGGATACCAAACTTCTGCTGCTGCTCTATTCCTTGGCTGCCATCAAACAATTCTGAGAGACAGAGACAATCCAAAATAGTGTACTCCCTGAGGGAATCCAAAGATGGCCCTTTCTCCAACTTTCATTTTATTTCTAAAAGATAGGACTGGCTCTTTCTTTGCACAGGAAATTTCACTAAGTGATTTTGGCAAAGACAGTTCTATCATCCAAAACCTATTATCCCACTTTCCAGCATCTGCTGTTTGGAAAAAGCAGTTCACCCTGTAGAATAGGACACCCCTGGGTTTTTTGGATGGTTCTAAGTCACCATGATTTCATCATGCAATAATGAAGAGAATTCTGCTTACATGTCTGCATAAGCTCTTCTTCTTTTTTGCAAACAAATCTATATCTATGCTAAAAGCAGGGCTTTTTTTCTCATAGAATGCCCAGAACGGAGTTCCGGCACCTTTTTTGGATGGAACCTTGTAGGGTAGGCAAGGCAGGTTGTATGATGTGTGTGAGTTCCTGCACCTTTTTTTTTTTTTTAGAAAAAAAAGCACTGGCTAAAAGAATTCAAATCTGATGGTCTTTTATTTCATCCTTTTGTCAACAAACATAGGAAAAAATTGGTTTTGACAGAGTTTAAGACTTACGCCCTTTCTCTTGGGGTTTCATGATGATCTACTAACAGGAAAAGCTTTTGTTCAAGTCAAGATGAAAGCTGTTTTTGATATTCCTAAAGAATAAATTTATAGTCTTGAGCTGTCGGGCCTGGTATCCACCATATTTGTCCAAATATAAACTGAATACTTCAGCAAGCTTCAGAAATAATTGCTTCAAGGATAAAGCATGAGCTCACCAGCTCAAAGATATTCTGAGTCCTTTCTCCCGCCAACTATGAATTAAAGTGAGTGTTTTAAAAGATGATGGAGATAGATAGATCTTTCCATAGATATTAGCCAAAATGTTACATGAAACTTTCACATTCAGAAGCAGTTAGCTAGTACCAGTTGTTGGGATGCAATAATAGCAGTAGAGGAAGGCAATAGATCTCTAATCTGTCCTGTAGACTTTCTAAAGATCTACCTTTTGAATTTCCCAGATGTTTCATTTAGACCCCTGATCAAATTCATGAGTCTTGTATACTGAAAATTCTTTGTCAGAAATCTTTTATATCCTAGGACCCAAAGCCTAGGTTATGAGCTGGATGCCACATTACCACAATACATTGATACCATTCTTATTTCCAGATATGACTGACATTTCTTTGAAATGGGGACAGAGGTGCAAAACTCTAGGGAAGTAGTACTCATTGAGTTCTAAATATATTGGGTCTAACAAATGATATTTGGTCCCATTCTTGATGCTTTTATCTACTATTAGTCTCTTGATCTATTCTTCTTTTCCTTCTGAGCTTAGTTTCCTCAACCCCCTTCACAGTGCCAAAACTCCTTTAACGCTTTAAAAGTAGATTTCAATTCCAGCTCTAAAAAGCTATTCAGGAAGGCATACTCCTGCTCATTATCTCTGAATGGTGCTAAAAATACAGAAGGATAATTTTCAAATATGCAATAAAATGCTTAGCCTGGAGGGCATTTAAAATTTAAGTAAATATAAAGTAGTCTTTCCAAGACTGTTAGATTTCATCTTCTAGAATCCCACTTACCCACAAAGTTAAACTATTTTGTCTGTGGAATTACAGGAGCTGAAATCTAACATGGTATAGGGAAATAAATTCAGGGTTAGTTCTGGGAAAAATTTTTACTTTAATATATATTCACCATTAATATGTATATATATATATATATAAAGATTCTTACCATGGACTTCCAGATCAAAAGAACAGCTATCCACCTTATCTTTATATGTTACTTCACATCTATAATTTCCTCCATAATTTTCCTTAGCTTTGATTATTTGCATCTCAAATGTATACATCTGAAATCCAAAGGTATAATGCAATTATTCATATAAAAATCACAAGAATAATTGGAAACTAAACACACTTACTTATGTGCATCTTATATGTTGACATAGAGAAATGGGTTGATTTTTTTTACTTCTTTTTCATATTTCTTAATTCTGTTATTTTGCCGTACCAAGCAGTTAATAACTGATTTCCAAAATCCCATTTTGACCTTCTTCTGTCCACTCAGAAAATGACAGCAATTTTGGGTCTCACAAATTGCATTGTGACTCCAGGTCTGCTATAGCTTCTCCTTTTGATCACAGCAATTCCCTATCTCCCAGCAATTTTATGAGCTCACAATTTGCCTGGGACCTATCTCCTATGGATTGAGTCTAAGACAATCCATAACTGTGTAATCATAAGAATCACTTTGATCAATGAATCCCATATCATCTTTCTCTTTTTCCAAGCAAGTAATTTTAGATAAATGCTGCCACCCACCACCATTAAACCATTTTCTTTGGGGGGGGGGGGTAAATATATTTTGAAAAAGGTCATCTATAATAATAATAATAATAGTAGTAGTAGTAGTAGTAGTAGTAGTAGTAGTAGTAGTAGTAGTAGTAGTAAAGTTGGAAGGGACCTTGGAGGTCATCTAGTCCAACCCCCTGCTCAGGCAGGAAACCCTACCCCATTTCGGACAAATGGCTGTCCAGTCTCTTCTTAAAAACTTCCAGTGTTGGAGCATTTACTGCTTCTGGAGGCAGGCTGTTCCACTGATTAATTGTTCTCACTGTCAGGAAGTTTCTCCTTAGTTTTAGGTTGCTTCTCTCCTTGATTAGTTTCCTCCCGTTGCTTCTTGTCCTGCCTTCAGGTGCTTTGGAAAATAGCTTGATTCCCTCTTCTTTATAGCAGCCCCTGAGATATTGGAATACTGCTATCATGTTCCCCCTTGTCCTTCTCTTCGTTAAACTAGACATACCCAATTCTAGCAACCGTTCCTTATATATTTTAGCCTCCAGTCCCCTAATCATCTTTGCTGCTCTTCTCTGTACTCTTTCTAGAGTCTCAGCATCTTTTTTACATCGTGGTGACCAAAACTGGATGCAGTATTCCAAGTGTAGCCTTACCAAGGCATTGTAGAGTGGTATTAATACTTCACGTGATCTTGATTCTATCCCTCTGTTAATGCAGCCTAGCACTGTGGTGGCCTTTTTGGCAGCTGCAGCACACTGCTGGCTCATATTTAGGTGATTGTCTACTAGGACTCCGAGGTCCCTCTCACAGTTACTACTATTGAGCATGGTGCCACCTATGCTGTACTTGTGCATTTGGTTTTTCTTGCCTAAATGTAGAACCTTGCTTTTTTCACCATTAAATTTCATTTTGTTAGATAGCGCCCAGTGTTCAAGTCTGTCCAGATCCTCCTGTATCCTAAGCCTGTCTTCTGGAGTGTTGGCTATTCCTGCCAGCTTGGTGTCATCTGCAAATTTGATGAGTTCCCCATCTATCCTTTCATCCAAATCGTTGATGAAGATGTTGAAGAGTACTGGGCCCAGAACAGAGCCCTGGGGCACCCACTACACACTTCCCTCCATATAGATGCAGTTCCATGAAGGACCACTTGCTGAGTACGGCCGGTCAGCCAGCTACGGATCCATCTGGTGGTGATTCTGTCTACCCCACATTTTTCTATCTTATCAAGTAGTAGATTGTGATCTACTTTATCAAATGCCTTACTGAAGTCCAAGTAAATTATGTCCACAGCATTCCTCTGATCCACTAATTTTGTCACTTGGTCAAAGAATGCAATAAGATTTGTCTGGCATGATCTATTTTTGACAAACCCATGTTGGCTTTTATAATGACTTTGTTTGCCTCTAGGTGTTCATTGATTCATTGTTTGATTATCTTTTCCAGGATCTTCCCAGGTATTGAGGTCAGGCTGATAGGTCTGTAATTTCCTGGATCCATTTTTTCTCCTTTTTTGTGGATGGGAACTACATCAGCTCTTTTCCAGTCCTCTGGTAGTTCCCCTGTGTTCCAAGATCTTTGAAAAATATAGTTCAGTGGTTCTGATATCACATCTGCCAGTTCCTTGAGAACCTTGGAGTGTAATCCATCTGGTCCTGGCAATTTGAACTCATCTAGGCTGGACAGGTGCTCATTTACCATTTTCTTGCCTATCTTAACTTGTGTTTCTATTTTGTTTTTTATGGCACTATTTTTGATAGGTTGGTCTGTTTTTTTCCCTTTGTTTAAAGGCAAATGCAAAAAATGAGTTAAATAGTTCTGCTTTCTCCCTGTTGCTTGTCACCTTCTTGCCACTTCCACCCACTAATGGACCAATCATTTCCTTCACTTTTTTCTTGTTTTTTACATGTTGACAGAAGCTTTTTTTGTTATTTTTGACTTTGGTCGCAAGCCTCAGTTCATTTTGAGCCTTGGCTTTCTTCACTTCATCTTTGCAGGCTCGGGCTATTTGCTGATATTCTGACTTAGTTATGTTCCCCTCTTTCCACTTTCTATACTTGTCCTTTTTATCTTTCAATTTGTCAGAGAGTTCTTTATGCAGCCATGCTGGTTTCTTTTGAGACTGTTGTTTTTCCTCTTTGTTGGTATTGTGCTAGACTGTACTTTTATTATCTCATTTTTCAAAATTTCCCAAGCTTCTTGAGTTGTTTTCCCCTTGAGGATTCTCATCCATGGAATCCTTCCCAAGCCATCTCTAAGTTTATTGAAATTAGCTCTCTTGAAGTCCAAGACTCTAGTTTGACTGTGTTCTATTGGTTGTGCTTCTATAATGTTGAATTCTAATATTGCATGATCACTTCCTCCCAGGGTTCCTATGGCTTCAACACCGTCTATCATTTCATCTCTGTTAGTGAGAATTAGATCCAAAATGGCTAATCCCCTAGTTCCCTTCTCTACTTTTTGGGAGACAAAGTTGTCTGCTAGGTTTGCTAGGAACCTGTTTGATCTTCCACTTGGTGCGGAGTTTGTCTCCCAGTTGATGTCAGGGTAGTTAAAGTCCCCCATTACTATTGTGATGTGCTTCCTACATACCTTAGTTAGCTGACTATCAAAAAGTTCATCTATTTCCTCTGTTTGGTTGGGTGATCTGTAGTATACACCTATGGCAATGTCATTTCCCCTCCCTTTTATATTGACCCAAATGCATTCAAGACAGTTTTTATCATTGTTGTGCTCTATTTCTGTGGAGATGTAATTATTTCTTATATAGAGAGCAACTCCACCTCCTCTTTTATTTGGTCTGTTTCTTTTAAATAATTTAAATCCCTCTAGCTGTGTGTTCCATGTGTGGGTTTCATCCCACCATGTTTCCATAATGGCAACAATATCGTATCTGCCCTCATTAACCTGAATCTCTCTATATCTCTCTCTATATATACCTTGGTTTGTCGCTCAAATGTTTCTTTTAACTGAAGATGCTTGCCAACTTTGCTTGCCAAGTCCATCCATTTTCCTTTAAACCATTTAACAGTTGGTTTCCGAAGAAGATCCTGAGCTTCTACTTTGGCTATGAATGTGATATTTTGCCCTGAAAACAAGCAAGTCAACCAACATAAATCAAAACAGAATTAATCAATTGGGAATATCTAACACATGTAAATGAGTTTTAAATACCAAATTCTAAAGATGGAAAGATTTTGAAAAACACACAATGGAAAAATGATTGTTAAAGAATTTGCAAAAATGGCAAAATTGACTTGTTTAATTAGGGAATAGCAAATTCCCTAACAATAAAAACCTTAGACAATAACATTTCTCAATGACTGAAACCCCTCATGGACTTTTTGCCACGGCTGGAAAAAAAATTAATTTGTGCTTCATGAGATTGATGATTAGAAAGGGCAAAATATTTTATATAGGGAGAATATAAATATAGGAAGAAATGTAAATGCATTTGCTATAAAGAAAATCAGAAGCCACTTCTTTATATCTATTTTTTCTTTTTTCTTTCTTCCTTGTCTTTTTTCTCTTTCCTTATTTATTCATCACTTTATTTTTTCTTTAAATTTTTGTTTGTATTTTGTAAAAAAAAATCTTTTTTAATAATTAAAAAAGATACTCAAATACCAAATTATTTATTTCATTATTTTTCGTATAAAGAATTAATTCAACAGAAGGAAACCAGAGCATGTTATTAAACTATAGCTGGTTTGTTTCATGAGAAACAGAGGAAAAAAAGAAATGATATCCAGCCTCTATCTAAGGATCAGATCATTGCTAGGGAACAGGGAATGGAGTAGGGAAAGATTTACATGTATAATTTCAACCTTGCATTTACTTCCAATAACTGGGATGATCGAGGGGGACTTTTGAAGCTGCTTGAAAGCAACACTTCTGCAACCTTCTGCAACACTTCACATGTTATTTGGGACTTTTCTTTAGTATTTCACTTATTGCCTTCTTGTGCTCCAGAGGTAGTAGAAGAGGCCCCAGAACAACATTGCAGTGCCACAATTAGGCAAACTGCATCATTGCTATGCCTTTATGACATGAACAGCCCATTTGGCTACATATAAAGTTTACTGAAAATGAAAGGATATGGAAAGAAGAAATAGTATCAAAGGAAAAAATATAGGTAGATAATCCAGATGTCAGAAAAGCAATTGGCTAAAAGAAAATGATCAGCAAGTAACATGAACTTTAGTAGAGACCAATGTAAAGTTTTTCCCGTAAAAAAACCACCACATGCACTAATATAGGATGGGATAACTGTACTTGTATAAAATGGCTTGGAGAAATAGGAGATTGCAAATGAACATGGACTAGCAGAGAGACGTGGCTGCAAAAAAGAGCAAAGAATGCCAATTTGAGGCTTTATCATCAGCAAATTCTGGACCACCACACTTTAAGGATTGAGAGAAATTTGTATAGGTTCAGAGAAGGACAATGAAAATGATCAAGGGATTAAAAGATAAATCCCATGAAAAGAGATTTAAAGTGGTGGTAAATTTAGCCTTGAGAAAATATGCCTGTGAGGAAATATGATAGTCCTCTTACAAGGCTGGAAAGGATGTCACTCTAAGGAAGGTCAAGACATGTTCTTCTCATTCTGGGTGTAGGACATGGAAGACTAGCTTCTACTTAGGGAAAAGATATTCTGATTGAATGCTGGGGATGGGCAGGCTAAGTATATGATTGTATGAGTGTGTTATATCTACAGTCACTGACTAGAGGTCCCTGACCAATGCTAATTCATAATCACAGTGAACTGTATCATGCACACATATGAACAAATGAACTGTATCGTGCTGTAAATGTTTGCAGAGAAGCAAGTCCTTTTTTGCCAGATAGATATGAACAGAGTTGCTGGTATAATTGTTCTTTTTACACTTACCTACACTAATTGATCCACCTTTTGGTTTTTCAACAAATAAAACAGATTTCTCGGAATCTTGTTTTCCTCCTTCTTCTCCTGCAGACCCTATTAGTATAGAAAATAAAGGGAAATAACCATTATCAAAATGAACCTATCAATTAAGCAATGCTTACCTGGTTTCTGTTTTTTTTAGCATTAATATTACTTCTTAAAAATAGGCATGCACTCCCCATAACTCTCTTTCAGGGTAAGATAAGGTTACTGAAATAAAAAAAAGTGTCATACAGACCACACACTTATGAATGAAATAGAGTTTTTTTACTAGTGATCTGAACTGTAACTATCAGTTACAGTCTTCTCACAAGTTTTACAATTTGAATAGCTTCCTTGTTTCAACAATGAACACAGAGAGCTTCCTTGTGTTTCAAGCTGGGCGAACCCATCTCAGTTGTAAGCTGCACTCAGTGGTGGGATTCAAATATGTGAACAACCGGTTCTCTGTGTGGATGCTATGTCCAGAAGTCCATTCTGGGCCTGGGCAACAAAAAATTAGCTACCAGTTCTGCTGAACTGGTGCGAACTGGCTGAATCCCATCACTGACTTCACCCAACTGTGGAATGAAGGTGGAATCTTGGGAACACCCAGGCCAGAGCTCAAAGTAGGCAGCTAGGCAAAATTCTATCTACTGAGCTAAAAGAAGTGGCGATCCTAGTGCTGAATGTCAGAGATGAAGCCCAGGTCCCTATTAGCTAACTATATAGTATTGGGCAACAGTAAATAGGTCTCTCAATTTCTAATCCTTGACTTTGCCTGAGGAAAAAAAATTGGGTTTTTTTTTTTTGCGTTATAAAATCCTCCATATCAATTGCTACAAGTTATCCTGCTGGTGAAAGCTGTCTTCCATCCTTTCAGTAGAAGACAAATGTAATGTAATTCCTTGCATGCATAGACGTATGTTTGGTATGTACAAGATATTAATCTCTGGATTAGAGTCTAGACAGATGTATGCTACTGGAATCTAATGAAGAATATAGTGCTGTAGAAAGTTTAATTTTAATATATATCTGATGGTCTTAACTTTATGGTCTTCTGGCCAACTTTGTGGGGTTGTGAATATTAAAGACTGAGTCATCTTATGAGGAAAAAGAGAGTAACTAGGAATAGCCATTGTAATAAAAAAGAAATCTGCAGAGGAATTTCAAGAACCAGCAAAAAAATTGCCTTACTCCGCATTTTTCATACTCCAACAGATTCTCTTTTCAACATTTGTCTCTCTATATATATCATGGACAATTGACGTTGATTGTTGCTTATATATAAGTACAAGTATACTCACAAAGAATGATGGATGGATGGATGTACCAAATCTTACCATATTTCTATCTGTATTATATGCATGGTATATTACACTATATGTCAAAAACTTTATATGAACTTTTTATTGCCAAGTGTTGCTACCAAATGTCTTTAACTATCAACAACCAGGCTGGTCTGTATGTGTTTCTCTGGGAAGGAACTCATCTTTAGAGACAAATTCCTTCTTTCAGCTATATACTTCAGTTATTATATAATTCTTAGTCTGCAGTTTAATCCTGAGGGAAGAAAAATAATACATCAAAATAGCTGGAATACATAACTTCTGTGTCGAATATAATACATTTGATAACTAATTTAAAAGAATTTAAATGCATTTTGCTAAACAAATCAATAAGTAGCTCTCCAAACATGAAATATTTAAAATAGATTTTGTTTTGATATTTCCTTTGTAAAAATGAGTTACAGTGGTGTATGAACAAAAGTTAATTGTTAGTTTTTCCATATCCATTTCCTATATCACAGTTCATTTGAAACACCATTGTACACTAATGTACTCCAAAGCTTCATATGATTGGAGGCTTCTAATTTCACTCCAGACCATAAATTACTTCGCAACTGAAAAAGTAAGTAACAAAAAAAATGTTAATAGATAATGAAAATTGGAATGTTTTGAGTTTTCTCTTCTTTTTTTCAGATTTAGCGTATCTTACCTGAGTCCTTTCTATCTCCAGGTTTATTTGTACCATCTGAAAAGTAAGCATAAACTGGATGATATCAATATTCAAAAGTTATTATCTTGATTGCTTAATTGACTGTCTGGACACCTTGTATGTTAAAAGAAAGGAGGAAAATTATAGATTATAATGAATTGTTTAAGAGGGCAGTGGGATCATTTTGTTGAAGCTGAGCAGATTGGTCTTTGAGATAGCCTAACCCTAACCCTTTGTTAATGGGTAGAGCAATCCTAATTGTAGAATAATTTTCTATTGGTAGTGGTATTATTATTTACTATAAGTTTATTATGGCCACTCAATCCAAAATGCTTTGGATGGCTATGGTAGCACCTCAGACAATATTCCCAAATATTCCTAATCTCAACAGAGCAAAAGGAATGAAGACAGAGAAGAGCATCATCTCTTTTGTTTTCTTCTTAAATTTAAAGTACGGTCTCTTCAATATGGGCGAATGTTTTTCTCATTCCAGGGGCATAGAAGTGTGTGGATTTTTAAATTTTCTCTCCCAATAATTTCAGAGAATGTCCCATAATGGCTCCTGCCTGCATTCTGGTTGGCATAGTTGTCAACTTCATGATGTTAAAATGATGACATAGCATTCATGGCATCATCATACAAATAGTGCAATTACTCATGTCATGATATTTGACACACGCATACAACTTGCATTGTGTGTGGTGATACCATTTAGACTGGGGTGATCATTTGCCCCATTTCTTGCTTCCACCCTGGATGTTTATGGCTACAATAATCTGATTTTTCATCTGATCCAGCAGAACGATTTATATTCTCATTAATCAACCTGGTCATCATATTTTGCTTATTCTTGAGTTTTGTCATGTTAAAGAAGTTGTGTATAAATATAAATAAATAAATAATTGTTAGGCTATTTTTAAAAATCTTTCTTAAAATCTTTCAAAATACATTTCTTCAAAAAGGATAGCAGATTTTTAAAACATAGCCTTTCAAAGTCTTTTATTGGGAAATTCTACTGAAATCAACTGGGGAGTTGCTCAAAAATAAATGAATTTACAAAGGTATCTGGTTTCTTTTTGATGAAATTATCCCTGATTGGGAACAGAAGAATTGAATCTTAATAGCTCTTCATATTTTATCCTAATATCGTGGTGGCACAGTGATTAGAATGTAGTACTTCAGGCTAACTCTGCCAACTGCCAGCAGTTCGATCCTGACCGGCTCAAGGTTGACTCAGCCTTCCATCTTTCCAAGGTTGGTAAAATGAGGACCCAGATTGTTGGGGGCAATATGCTGACTCTTTAAACTGCTTAGAGAGGGCTGTAAAGCACTGTGAATCAGTATATAAGTCTACGTGCTATTGCTATTGCTATCATATAACATTAAATGGAATAGTCCTCCTAACCTGTTGCTGAAGAATCCTCTTCATCTGTAAAAAGAAATACATAACAGGTAAAATAGAGAATTGTGACAAGAAAAAGCAACAATGTAGTTTAGTAAAAATGGAGGGAAACAAGAAACCTGTAATAGAAGGAAAGGAAAACTATGATAGCTGGGAAGCTGGTAATGACAAGGTAAACTTGTGGAGAAAGCTTTATGGGATTGAGCAGCTGAAGTGGTCAACTTTAATGCTTCACGCAAAAACAAAAATGGGATATATGACATGTGATCCATTATTAAAACATGGGTTTGAATGGGAGCTTTCAAAATGGTTGTGTTTGTTAGACACAAAATACAAAAACTGAGTGGGGAAATGGAATACAAAAAAGTTACAATGAAAATCAAGGTCAACCATAGATCTGACCTGAAGAAGATGTTGTTTCAGTGAGGTTTCCGTCTGCAAGTAAAACGTGTACCATAGATACATTCATCACCATGATTTTTTGAGTTTTTTAAGAGGCAAAAATAATATAATCAAGAATTTAAAAAAGAACAAAAAGTGCTAAAATCAAACAATTATTCTTCTTCATTCATATTAAGATACCTATGTAAAAATATAAATGGCATGCCTATTATTTCTTTCAAAATTAAGACACAGGGTTGGGTTTGCATGACATGTTACACTAAACTAAAAGGGGTTGGGAAGATCACAATTTGAATGAATGGAAAGGGGGGAAAAATCATAGTTCACCCTCTTGTGGAAAAGTTGTAATTGTCATAGCAGATTATGGCAAAAAGGCCATTATGTTTACCCACAATATGATTTTATGTTTTTGGACATAATAGGCTACATAGATTCAGATATTGGACTTTGTTAACCTATACGGTACAGTGTCCAGGATATTGTGTGAACCCAGACTTACAGAATGTTGTATGCATGCCTATTCAGTTTAAACAGCTTTTCTCCCAAGTAGAAGATTGCATTTTGACAGAACATTCATTCAGTGTTCTGTTCCTTTCAAAGGAAGAATTAAGCATTAAGATTACTCATCATAAGTTAATGGGCCCTAAAATTGAAATCAATTAAAAACAATAATGAAGACTTCATCCAATAATATTTACTTCTGCAATAATATTAAGAAACATTACTATTACACTATTAAGAAACAGACTAAGAGTGACATGATAGCAGTGTTCCAATATCTAAGGTGCTGCCACAAAAAAAAAGTCAAGCTATTCTCCAAAGCACCTGAAGACAGGAAAAGAAGCAATGGATGGAAACTAATCAAGAAGAGAAGCAATCTAGAACTAAGGAGAATTTTCCTGACAGAACAATTAATCAGTGAAACAGATTGCTTCTAGAAATTGTGGGTGCTCCAATTCTGGAGGTTTTTAAGAAGAGATTGGATAACCATTTGTTTGAAATGGTATAGGATTTCCTGCTTGAGGGTTGAACTAGAAGATCTCCAAGGTTCCTTCCAATTCTGTTATTCTGTTAGTGAACATAATACCAGCAGATTTCTAGAAGATTATCTAGATACTTGTGAGCTTTTAAGATAAAATCAGGATTTTTGATTCTGCCTTCTGTTTCCTAATAGTTTACATTAATATCAGGGAAAAAACACTTTAAAATTTACTCTTGACTATAAACCATCTGGGGATATCTGTGTGTGTGTTTGTGTGTGCATGTTAAAAAAAGTAAACATGACACCAACAAACATGTGATTGAAGTCCAGTTCTTTTTAAAAATTGTGTTGCACTGAGACATACATTTAAAAGAGACAGGGCTTCAATCACATGATCAGAGCTCCCATTTTGATGCCTCATGCACTGTGCACTGGTCCCCTGTAAGTGCCCATTCTCAGGCAGAAATAGACATTTTTCCTCCCAATGTTTCAAAATTGTCCTTTCCAGCTCTCAACTGTCGCTTCTCATTACAGAGGAAGGAAGCCTTAGTTGAGGAACAGGCATAGAAAATACCCTTCCCAGTGGTACAAACTGCCTTTCAGTCAAAAACATGAAAACAGAAAGAAGAAGAAGATATGTCAGAAAACTTGATCACTTTCAATACAGAGCTGAAAATTGAGAAATCCAACTGTCAGTTTTGGAGCATTGATATTTATTAGAAATAATAGGAAAGGGGGGGGGGAGATTTTGATACAATTGTAATCCAGTCAATCAAGAATGCTACCATATGGCTACAATATTTTGTAGGCCTCATTACTATTTTGTTGAGAAATCTGAGAAACTGGAACAGTAAAAAGGGACTATTTATTATAAAAAACAATTATAATTCCAACAGCCATTGGAAACAGAAAGGCTTAATATTGATTTTTTTCCTAGCTGGTTTTGTAATTATGAATGAATGGATTCTTTTCTCTATGAAATGAAGGCATGATTAACAATTGTAACTTGCTTAAAATGAAAAATAAAATCTAATCTATATTAATGCTGTCATTAAAAGTAACAAATAGAGTGTCCCCAAATCAGACTTCATGGTAGAAACATGATAATTATTTCATTCTCCTTTTTTTGCAATTGAAATTTTAATAAATACATTTAGTAATGCAATTCTCGAAACAGTGAAATTGTTTTTAATTTTACATTTATTATAGTGATTTGGTATGTTCATAGCATAGACTTATATGATCGCTGGTTTGTAAAAATTTAGTGAAGAAATTCTGAAAATAGGGGAACAAACATTAAAGCAAAGGTCTAAACTAAGTGGAAAGTCTGTTCATCCTGAAATTTTATGGTTCCCTCTTTGATACATTTTGGTTATTGTGCTCAGAGTTAGTTATTAATTTATTATATTTTCACTCATAGACCAAAGTTGGTGCTCATAGAAGTACAGATTTATTCTTTTATTTAATTTATCTAAAAATGATAAGAATGTGTCTGTTAAGGAAAGCAAACTCACTATTCTCAGTGAGAATGTTTCATTGAAGTGTAACAACAAGCATAAAATTGAATGCTCTGTAAACAATACTGCTGCTCCTCATTGTGTATATGGATGCTTAAAGTTGTTAAGCAATCCTTATAAAACAATGGGAACCAATATTTGAGTTGGAAGGGAAATTCTGAATTAAAATTATTGCAAAAGTGGAATCGTCTGGACAATCTGAATCCAAACTATTACTGTGATTCAAAATTATTTGACTTTAATCAAATCTCAATATCTTTTAAATATGGATTATTTAACTTTTAGAAAACCCTTTCACTTAACTGCACAGTGTATGTTGTCATAACATGTCTGCCACATACATATAAAAGTGGAATAAAATATAAAAAGTGTAATAAAGAAATAACTGTAGAAACACAGCCAGTGATTCCAGTATTTCTCCTGAAGGCTTGTGAATAGATCTTTACTGTAATGGCAATTGAAAGAATACAGCATAAAAGAAGGAAAAGGACAACTTATTTAATATTTATAAGATGTAAGGCAGTTGAAAACTGTGATGAAAATTTGTCTCTGCCGCCTTTCCAGATCTGTCATGGTTGATCCAACTTTAAAAATGGTAAACATATTCTAGAAAGCAAGAGAGATGTTGTAGACAGATTTCATAGAAACTGCAATCAGAAAATCCATGTGTTGACAAAGTAGAACCGGGCTAGAATAAGTTAAAATGAAATAACAGATGGCTCATTAGATAGCTTGATACCTGATGGAATTTAGAGAATGTTATTAAATTAATGTTAGCATTCCAAGTTATAGGCATATTGTAGTTGCTATATTTTCTGAAAAAAAGGATGTTAATAAATGCATATTATGGAATAAAATATATGAAAAACATTTATATATATCGTATATTTCATAGTTGAACAAACAAATGTCATATGTATGTGCATGTATATATCTCTATCTCTGTCTGTCTGTATACCCAGATGTTGGATAATACTGGAATTACAACTTTTAATGATTTTATTCCAGACTAATGGTGACATTTTATATCGCTGAAGCTTTTCCAGGGCAGATATAATGTATGCTATAATAATCTAGTATTAAGATGTTAAATCATAAGTGACTACAGATTGTTTTACCCTACCCAAAAAGTTAGATGTATTCTTTCTAGGAAAAAAAGTGCACATAATGGACCAAATCAACTGATAAAGGAAAAGGGAGAAAAGACAGTGAGTAAACATTGGCTCTGAGACATGTACAGAAATAATCCAGGAATGTATACTTAATTACATTTTTAAAAGAAATGAAATCCAAATCCAGTAGGGGATTGGATTGAACAAGGAAGAACAAAAACATAATCTACCTGAACTGTAGAATCTCGTCTAGCTTTTGTAGAATATTCGTACTCACCTTTTTCTGGGGGATTCCCATCTTTCTGAGCGTTAGTTTCTACTATATAGGAAATAGAAACACATTTTTTAAAAGAAACACCCTGATCATAAATATTGTGTATGTTTCTGCTACTAGTGTTAATATTACACCAACATTTTAAATGTGTAAATTAGGCTATTGGAATACTCCATAGCAGTATTACGAATAACTTGAATACCTTTAGCATAACATAAAGCTGCATCTTTACATTTATTGTTTTTTAAAAAAAACTGCTTGTTAGCATGCAGTCTCCTAAGGATTGGAATGATACCTATTTACATATGGTGAATTACAGTTTCCATCAGACTGCACTTAAAACATGGGTACTTGTGCAGGAGATGAAATAATGCAATGACATCTGCTAACAATAGCTATGAGAAAAAACTCAGTTTAGAATATGATCAGAGTAATCAATAAGAAAGAAGAAAAATGAGAAAGACTGCATTTGCTTCATGTACTAACGTAGAACTATGATGGCTTATTTTATAAATAAACCTCCATAATTTCCCCAAGGTTACCACAGTAATTGAGAGCATTTCAATAACCCTGGTTGATCTTGAAAAACTAAGCAGGGTTCCTATAGTCCCTATTTGAAGGACTATCAGCAAATCCATGGATTTTAGGCTAGCCTCAGTAGATATAGATCTACATTAGTGGCAGATATTTGTAGCTGGGGTGAAGGATGAGGGTGAAGGTCCATTTTCTGAGCTTGTGGGTTGGTTTCCAAACGTTTTATTATCAAGCCAGGTAACATCTTCAGTGCTTCTCTTATTAGGGCTGATACTTGCTTGTATGTTTTCCCATTGAACTTGAAGTATGTGTTCAGGTATAGATACAGGAGTTTCATAATGGTTTCTGTGGACATGGAGTGTTTTGTAGTGGCATCATCTTTGTGGGTATGGTGTTTAGTAAAGATGTAACCTAGCCTGGTAATGAAATGTTCAGAAACCAACCCACAAGCTCAGAGAACGAACTTTCACCCTCATAGATCTACATCTCAGAAGATGCTGCTGAAAAACAGTATGGATGTGTTCATGTAATCAACAGGAAGCAAGTTTAATCTGAGAGAGTTTGATTTTTCAATTTCCAAGACAATATACAGTAGTGCCAAAATTGTGGAAACCTTTTGGGAAAAGTGTACAGTAGAAATGCCACCTTTGGTTAAGTTTCCACTAATTTTTCTTCTAATTTCTAATTATAACTGTAGCCTTGTTCACTTAATAATACTATTTTACATCACTTTCTGGGCAATCAGTCAACTCTTTGCAACATTACTTTAATTTTATTAAAGTTTTACAAACTCACTAAATGAAAGAACACAAAAAAACCCAACCAACTTGATAGTGATCACATAACACACTGACAAATGTCCTCCTCTCAGCTTTAATACATGACATCAATAACTGAATCCTACTGTGATCTGATTGGCTCATTGCCAAAACAAGATGACACCTGATTGGCTCTCTAAACATTCAAGCTCATTGGCTACAATCAGATGAAGGAAAGCTACCTGATATCAACCTAAACAAGTTGTGCTTCTTTTTTCTGGTTATTTGGCTATACCTTTTCATAGAATACAGTACAGATAATTGAACAAACTTTGTTTCATTATATTCTTGATTAAAATACCTTTCCATTGATATATAATTTTATGGTACTACTCCAAAAAAAGGTGGTGTTATTAGCCATCAAACCTCAAAAATACACTTTTCCCAAAAGGTTTCCACAATTTTGGCCACTACTGTAGAATACTGGGAACTACATCCATAGAAAGAGAGATTCTCAGAAATTCAACAACACAAAAAAATTATTAATGTGTGGTAGAACAAGTTTAACGTTCTAATCACTTCTTTATGTTCCTAATGAGACCTTTACAATATTCTGCTATTTTAACAAACTTACTATATATATATATATATATATATATATATATATATATATATATATATATATATATATATGTAGGTTTTTGGTTGTTCGGGTTTTCTCCCGTGTAAAATTGGAAGTGTCTTGGCGACGTTTCGACGAAGTCCCATTCGTCATCTTCAGGCTGGTGTTTTCAGCTTCGTGCTTTGAGCAGCAATGTGTGGTCTTAGCTGTTTCTTCCTTTTGACTGCCAGTGGGGGTATGAACTGATTGGGTGGGAGCTTGGCTGTGTTCTGATTGGGTGGAGGTGTGTTCTGATTGGTTAGGGGCGTGGCTGTGCTCTGATTGGCTGGAGGGTTGGCTGTGCTCTGATTGGCTGGGGGGTTGGCTGTGCTCTGATTGGCTGGGGGAGTGTTCTGTTTGGTTGTGCTCAGGTTAGTCTGAGTTGCAGGGGGGTTTAAGATTTTGGGCTGCCTTGCTATTTTTTGGCTTCGCGTTCGTGGTCGTGTCTCATCTTCATGGAGGGTGTCAGTTTGCTTCATGTATGGGTTGGAGGGGTTTAAAGTCAAGCCCCTAACCAATCAGAACACACCTCCACCCAATCAGAACACAACCAAGCTCCCACCCAATCAGTTCATACCCCCACTGGCAGTTAAAAGGAAGAAACAGCTAAGACCACACATTGCTGCTCGAAGCACGAAGCTGAAAACACCAGCCTGAAGATGACGAATGGGACATCGTCGAAACGTCGCCAAGACACTTCCAATTTTACGTGGGAGAAAACCCGAACAACCAAAGACCTACATACAAACACCCGCGAAAACCTCAGAAAACATATATATATGTTACTAACCTGGAGGAGGTGCACTTTCTGTTGTTGGTGTATCTGAAAAGGTTAAAAGAAAGAGATTTATAACATTCTGAAAGAAAAGAAGCATACATAATGATGCTTCTATTTTATTGTATAGTAATATAAATTTTGCATTATAATAGTTTAAAAAATTAGATCAGACTATTCAACTGGACTCTATTTGCATATAGCCTATTACAATATGGTGCATTATTTCAGGAGGTTTTTTTTAAAAAGCAAATTACTTGCCCTTGAAGGTTTTCCTTCTCTTTTCTATAATAAATAGGCTATCTTTATTATGAGGCAAATGTTAATGCACAATATTCTGCAAACATTTAATACAAAGGAGATTATTCCCAAAATGCTGATGATCCATATTGCCCCTAAGTCTTGAAAAATTACTTGCAGGACACCTAAAAATATCTTTTTCTCCAAGCAAAACTAGGACTGGCAGCAGGGTTGGGTTCAGCACTTTTTCATGTAGCCTCTGGTCTGATTTCATGCAACCTCTGTCTCATTTCTAATCTGCTATGAAGGAAGCCAGCCCAGACCCCTCTTCAGACTTCTGTTCTTCCCTCGCAGCCCATAGTTTGGGAGAGAGAAGAAGTGTTGTCAGAAAGACAATAGCAGAAGGGATTTTAGAGAATAATTATCCTCACCTCCTTTTAACTGTGAATGTGAGGAAACTCTGCTGGCAATGCAATGTCCAAAATATTACCCAACAGGAAAAAAAAAGGCTACTAAACCCTAATTACCAAAACTAAACTTCTACGGTATTAATCATGGTTTCATCAGTGGATCATTGAACAGTTGGCTTTGAACAGTGTAGTGTTCGCACCCGTGACTTTGTCCTTGTATTAGAACATTTAATCCTACATAGACAACTTTAGCTACTGAGCGTCTGCAATAGATTTTAGGTGGGGGACAACAGGGGTGGTTGGTATGAGGGCCTTGTCTTACATAGCATCCTAAGAATGCCCGCAGGCTCAACCGAACATGGAATATAACTCAACTGCCTAGACTAGAGGCTCACTTTTGGCTTACCCACATGGAAGGGTATTTCATGCATGTCAGTGTGTTTTAAATAGGACCCTTCTTGAATGCATTGCGACGCTATCCTACTGCAATCCTGTGGTGCTCCAGATGTTGTTAAAATACTCTTCTCAGCTTTCCTTCTGTTAGCCATGAACTGTAATGCCCGGAAGCCTATGGGGGATCTACACCCATTTTACTAGCATTTATTAATAGCCCAGTGATATTTAACGGTAGTAATGCAGACTTCTTTTCCCGCATTTTGTTCACATGCTGTTTGGGTGACAAAAATTAGGGAAGCTCTGAAGGGACTTCAATTATCCTCACACAAACTGTATACAAATAGTCCTTGACTTACAATCATTTGTTTAGTGACTGCTTGATGGTACGTTGAAAAACGTGACTTACAACCAGTACTCACACATCTGTTTCAGCTTCCCCACAATTACACAATCAAAATTTAGGTGCTTGGCAACCAGAATGTATCTACAATGGTTACAGCATCCTGTGGTCATGTGATTTGTGATTTGTGAACTTCCCAGCCAGCTTCTGCCATGTGAAATCAATGGGAGAAGCTGGATTTTGCTTAATGACTGCATTCCATTTTATTCCATTGTTAAGTGATTCACTTAACAACCTTGGTAAAAAAAGATCATAAAATAGAGTGCAACTCGGTTACCAATCACCTTGCTTAGCAACAGAAATTCTGTTCACAATTCTAGTTGGCAGTCACAGACTGCCTGAATATGGCCGTGGCTATGACAAAGGAAACAAATTTCTAGGTGCTTTAAATAGCTGTTCCTTAGAACTATTAGTAGTTCTTCTAACCAGAATACAGGTAGTCCTTGATTTACAACCATTTGTTTAGTGACCATTCCAAGTTACAACAGAACTGAAAAAAGTGACTAATGACTGTTTTGCACACTTACGACCGTCATGTGGTCACTTGATCAGAATTTAGCTGCTTGGCAACAGGTTCATATTTATGACAGTTGTCCTGGGTTCACATGATCCTCTTTTACGACCTTCTGACAAGCAAAGTTAATGGGGAAGCCAGAGTCCCTTAACAACTGGGTTACTAACTTAACAACGGTGGCAATAAAGGTTGTAACATGAGGCAAAACTCACTTAACAACTGTTTCACTTAGCAACAGAAAATTTGGGCTTAATTGTGGTTGTAAGGTGAGGACTACCTGTAGAGACAACCTTGATATAAATCTAGGTGGTAACCATAATCTGGTGTGAGGCATTTGTATGAAACTAATAGGAAACAATGACCTTTAACTTGCACGCAAGCGAGAAGTCACCATTGTTTCAGTTAACTACAAAATGAGAAAGTTCTGAAAAATGTTAGGACTGGTGAAAAAGAGACAGAAAAGTTAAGAGGATTAAATTTCTTTGTAATGCTTAGAGATGATTTTAAAGCCCAACAATTGAAGCCCAAGTGGAATGAATCACACAATGTAAAAAAGGTCAATCAAGTCCAGGAAGATGGCCACAGGACTCCTCCCAGAATCCTGATAAAGAATGTGCTTTTTTCATGAGGCAGCTGGACTTTCCTGTTTTTCTTTGAAGTCCAATTGCCTCATGAAAAAAGCACCTTTGGGACAACTATGACCTGGATGACTGAGAATCTCCATAGACATTGAGCTGATAAAGAAGACTTCCCCCAGAAATTGGAAAACCCACCAAGAGCAAAAAGGAATATAAACTCTGGCAGGAAAGGTGGGGGGGGGGGTGATCATGAGGAAGGAGAAGGAGTTAAGTAGGGTATGACAATCAATCAATCAGAACTTTTTTTCATTCTATTCAGTGCAGAAAACAAGCCAAAAAAACAGGTGATTTGTTAGATAGAAGAGGAGGAATAAGGATACTGTGGAATTGATAAAAATTGAATGAATTCTTGGCCTCTGTATTTGCTACAGAATATAGAGGAGAACATCCCTGTGTCTCCGATTGAGCGAAGCCAGTTGAGGTAAAAAGAGAAGATATTCTGGGACCTCTCACCACTTTAAATCTCTTTTCCTGGGATTTATTTTTTAATCTCTTGATCATACAGTAATAAATTACTGAACGCTGATGACAGCCACTCAAGAATTTTTAAAAGCCTCAGATGTGAAATTGCTGATCCCTTTACAATATATGTAATTTATCTCTTTTATTGGGCTCACTAGGATAGAACTGGAAGGTAGCCAATGTGACACCAGTTTTTAAAAATGGACCCAAAGGAGAGGTAGGAAATTACAGACTAGTCAATTTAATATCTGCTCCATACAAATTGGTATTAATCAAATAAAAAATTACTAAATACAGAGGAAAAATCTGCATGGATTCTGCAGAGCTAAATCCCATCTCTCCAGTACTTTATTGAGTTTATTGAGAGCATCTGCTGGCACATGGATGGAACAAAAAGGCACAGTTGATGTTAGGAATCATTTGGAATGAGGTGGAAAATAAAATGCTCAACTTAATAATACTCTCAGATAACCTCTAGTACATTTCCATCTGAAAAGCTGTATACCGTTCTGGTTTGAAAAACAAAGGGTTTATCTGAGCTTGAAATAAGTTCATCTAAAATGATCAGGCAGCTCAATCACTTTCCTTTAAGAAAAGGCAAGAATGTTTGTCTTTAGCTTGGAAAAAAACATGACTAAGTGGGCACTTGATCAAGATCTCTAAAGTTATGCAAAGTATGGAAAAATCAAGACCGATGAACCTTACAAAGGCAGAGCCGTCAAAATGCAGCATAATTAATCTGTGGGAATATACTACTCCAAGACAAGGCAATGGCCACACTGATTTAGATAGCTTAGAAAGGAACTGGATTCTTTTATGGAAAATGTTGTGTCCTGAGCCTAACAAATAGACCCCACATATCATTTCACCTCGTATGCTGAGATGGTCCATTTTCCTGTCAGCATATGACTATACATTAGTTCACAAACCAGGAAAAGAAATGGGTCACGCAGATGGCCTGAGCAGATTACCCCTGAATCAATTGGAGCCAGATCCTGCTCCAGCCATTAATATTCTGTCTATTCAGGAATTGCCTGAGTCTCCCCTCAATGCTAGGGATGTGGCTGCAGAAACTGCCACTGATCACACACTTACATGTGTGCTGACATGGGTGTTGTCAGAATGGCCTGACAAGTGCCCAGATACTGAGTTCCAAAGCTTCTGGCACAAGAAGCATGAGTTTTCCACTTTCAAGGGATGCCTGTTATGGAGTAGCAGGGTAGTGATCCCAGCCTCATTGAGGTCTAGAATCTTGATATCTATGCATGAGGGACATCCTGACATAGTCAGGATGAAAGCGCTTGCGCGCAGCCATCTTTGATGGCCTGGACTCGATAAAGCCATTGAGGCCCAGGTGCACGGGAGCCAAGTGTGCCAACAGTCTCAGCCAGAAATGCTTCAGGCCCCAATACATAGGTGGGAGGAAACTCAAACCCTATGGTCTACGGTGCATATAGATTATGCTGGGCCCTTTCAGGGGCAATTCTTCCTGGTTGTTGTTGATAGCCATTCCAAGTGGCTGGAGGTTGTTCCTGTTTCCTCCACTACTACTGCCAGGACCATCCAGGTGTTGAGAGGAATTTTTGCATCACACAGTCTTCCAGATGTTCTGGTTTCAGATAATGGCCCTCAGTTTACCTCTTTTGAGTTCCAGGCTTTTCTTCAGGCCAATCTGATCTGGCATGCAACATCGGCTCCCTTCCACCCATCCTCCAACGGACTGGCAGAGAGAATGGTGCGCACCACCAAAGATGCCCTCAAGAAACTGACTTATAGTAACTGGCATCACAGGTTAGCAGATTTCCTTCTTGCACACCACACCACACCATGCACTGCCACAGGGAAGAGCCCTGCTGAACTCCACTAGGGTTGCCGCCTCATCACTAAACTGTGCAGGTTGCACCCTGACCAGGTGGCTTCACAGGTGTCACAACTGCGGGCACCTAAAAAACTCCAGGTGGGCGATCTGGTCTGGGCACGAAACTATG